TAACGGGCTATTATCGTTATGTTGGTTCATGAGTCATTGTTCTTTGTGTTTGTCAGGGAAAGAGTGGTCTTTCTAAGGTTTTAAACTACTCTAGTTGGAGTCAGTCGAAGCATTGCAAAATTTTCTCAGCCTCACTAAATCTGACAAATATGTAGAGTTATTGTTATAGAGCTGATCCTACTTGAATTATTGCATGTCGATATTAATTTTCAGCTTTATGTGTGATTTTGAGTTGAGCATGTCAATGCTTTTACGTTGGTTCAGCCTAATTGTGATTATTTTGCCATAAGAGCAATTCTGTAGCTTTTTGTGGATTAAGTAAGCTACTATCATTATCTTGGTCGACATTGTTCTTTGTGTTTGTCAGGGAAATAGTGCCCTTTCTCAGCCTTTAAACTACCCTAGTTGGAGTCAGCCGAAGCATTGCAAGTTTTTCTCAACCCTTACTAAATATGACCAAGTTTTTTAAGTCTATATTTATTTACACATCTTAGATTGATGCTTTCATTTTTCTAATGAATTCTTTTTCCTGCTGGCTTTGGTAGATGAGTTCTACAAGAAGGGGGGTCGAAAGGATGAGTTGATGACTTATTCTGTATTCTTTCCATATGTCGATGCTAAACATGCTTTGCTTGGAAAAAATAGATATCTATCGTTATTGGAATACATGAAATTTTACAATGGGGCAATGACTAATGTGAAAAACAATCCCTCCTCGATATATTTCAAAACAACTGGGTTTTTGTTGTTAAGTCTCATCATGATTGGCCTAAGCAAGTTGAGAATGGTCGCACGAAATATAGGCCCATGCCAGTGATTAAAGTCGACGTGGGTTGTACAAAAGTAAAAATTGATGCATGTTACAACCCTACGACTCATAAGGGTAGTTTGGGTGTGGTTTATGAGGATAGCAGTGGTGGACTGCTTAATTTTTTTGAGCCAAACTATTATAGGTGAGATAACTTCGTCCGAGGAAGCAGAACTTTGTGCATTAGAGGAAGCTGTTCGTGTTGCAATTCAAGAGGGCCGCACCAATCTGGTGATTGTGTGTGATAGCAGGAGTGTATTATACAGCATGGACCCTAGTGAACTTGGCAAAAAGAGCTAGAAGAAGTTATTTAGCCGATATGAGTATGCTTGTGTTATTTTTTATTCAATATGGTCTCCTCTTTTTTACTTGTTTATTCTTATAAGCTATACTCATAAATATCGTTTCAACAGGCAGACTAGAGAGAAAAACACATTCCTTGGCGCATTGTCCACACTTATAGAGAGTGTAATTTAGCAGCAGACTACTGTGCAAGAGCTGCTTTTAGGGGAGCCTCATGCCACAAAGAAACTGTGGAGGAACTCATGTTACAGGAAATCAAAAACGTCACTACCTTTTTAATCAAAAGAAGTTGATCAAGACTACAGAGAATGAGAAAGAGATTTTTGTTCCAGCTAATTGATTACCTCTTGGAAGATTTTTGGTTTGTGTTTTCTTGTAGTTTGGAAGAAGAGTGAAAAAAGAGGTTCAATTTCTTTGGATTTAGGTATCTTTGGGCTATAATCTTCCTACACTGTTGTCATAGTTTTGACTTATACTCTGATATTCCTCTGGTATCTTTATGCAACTCTGAGAACCAATTAATGGTTTAAATGATGGTTTGTTTCCCCTTGGCAACTAGATTTTGTGTTTGGCTACTCTTTAGTTTAGTGCCATCTAATATGTTCTGTTATTTTGGCTTTCACTCTTATTTGCGGTTTTTGGTTTCATAAAAATTAGAGTTTTGTAACAGGCTGTGTGAAACCCAGAGTTTTATTCTCTGAAGAGGAATTTTTTTGGTGGGCATAAGAGGTGCAGGCTTGTGTATATATAGGATTCTTCATGAATAATACTTACAAGTATCTAAAGAGAGGATGTTAAGTGATCTTGTGATCGCTTGATCTTGAAGGATTAGGTACAAATTTTAAACACATCCTTATTGGACCCACTTTGATCCCATGAATATAAGAGATTTTGGTTTAGAACTTTATATATCATTTTTTTGCTCTTCCAATCTCTCTTAAATCTTGGCTCCATAACCCCCCTCTATTTTTCAATCCTAATTGTACTATAAAAGTAGATCATCAATGTGTGCCACTACATATAATGATCTAAATAAACTACTCTCCGTAGATTTATCTAGTAACACTTAAAATATATATTTATACTACTAATTTCACAAGAAGTATGCAAATAGATACATGGTATCTTTTCCATAAAAAGAAATAATAATAATAATAATAATAAAATAAAATACAAAAATAAAAAATAAAAACATTAATAATGCTCACCACTTAAAATATATATTTCTTTTTAGGTAAAATATTTTTATTTTTCGGTGCTTGGTAAAGGTCTATGTCAAGATTGAGGTCGTGTCCGTTAGGCGGGACGTGTAAAATAACTTGGCAAAAAATTGATAAATAAGTTATTTTTGTTAAATTTTAGTATGTTTTTTCTTCCTAAATTTAAGACAACCAAACACCAAAAAATATATAAAATATTTTCTGTATGGATAAGAAAAATGCATGAAAAAAAAAAAAAAAAAAAAAAATTAATGAAAGCAAAATGAAAGTGCATAAAGTGTTAAGAGTTTAATATACTCTTTGAAATGTCACACAAAGTATTAGTATTTTTAAATTAATACCACTTTGAACGTTTTTGTTATTTATTTTTCCAAAGATTCAAATGTATCAATTGCACTAGACCCCAAATTAAAGGTTAACCAAGAAAATTGGAAAACAAAAAGCTATAATTCAGAAAAAAAATAAAATATAAAAAAACTATAAAGAAGAGGCTATTTATATAAGGATAGTAAAGTAAAACCAGGGGTAGCAGCATGTATGTGACAATCATTTAAAAAATTATAAAAAAGTTTGGCTTGACTTTTGTTATTTATTATTGTGACAATCATTTAAAAAATTATACTATATAAGTGCAAGACTTTTGCGGAATCAAAATTTCAAAATTCTTCGAAAAATGGATATGGGTCTCACCACATGCATCCGATTTGAGAAGACTTTAATTAAATCCTTTTCTTTAAATATTATTTTTCTTTAAATAAACATTTAAAGAAGCGAGACTTTGAAACACCACAAAATTAACAGGAAAATATACTCCTATGTATTCAGATCTTATTTTTCCCCTTACTTTCATACAAATATTTATTCCTATAATTAATACTCCATATATTATACATTCGTATATATATATAAAAGAGCACATGTGATGCACCCAAAAGATTGAATTATTTTTTAGATCTTTAGAAGATAAATCGCACTATTTATCTATAAGATATTAATGATTTTAAATAATGTTAAAAAATTATCAATCAATCTAATAATCAATGTAAAGGTCAAAACATTGTCACTTCAAAAATGAGAAAAATAAATGTAAAAAAAATTGTACACACAAACATAGAGAGAGATTCAAACACACATTGGACATCAATAACACAGAGAGATCAATCTGGAAGGGAATAACATAGCTAGTACGTGGAAAATAAAATGCAATTGTGGTATTGAAAATGAGTTTAAATTAAGGCGATATTTTTTTTCGTTTTTCAGGTAAAACATTTTCCTTTGTTTTTAATTTTTGGCACAATCAAATACTAAAAAATACAAAAATATATATATTTTATGTTCAAACAAAAGGAGCTTAAAATTGGAAGTTTGCAGTGTGGAGACAGCTGAGTCTAAAGCCATACTAGTAACAGCCAAATGAAATGTCGTATTGAAAGAAAATAATAAAAAATTCAACATATATTACCATTAAGTGGACATAATGCAACGAGATCAAGCATGAATATAAATAGTGAGAATCAATATTGCATGAGTATTTTTTCTTATATATAAGAGAGAGGAAGGAGAAATAGATTGTGAATGGAATTGTGATAGAAATAGAATTAGAAAAGACATCTAGGAATAGAAGACTATCAGTTGAATTTGTTAAAAAAAATGTATTGAAAGTTAGAAATTGTATGATAGCGTTTGTATCTAATATAGTCTTTACAATTAGAATTGTGATAGAAAACTAAATGTGTATAAATAGTATAGAAGTTTAGAGTTAATTATTAATTAATACTTGAATGAGAAAAAAAAAATAATAATTGGGAAAGATACAATATCATTGGCATAGTAGGAATAGAAAGAGGCGTGAGGATCCACGAAACCAGTACCTTCTCCACTGAGTGTTGTCTTCTCCTTTTTGATGTCCTGTTTTGGAAAATAATAAATAATAGAATTATAAATAGAATAATCCAGGGAAGAATAAAAGAGTAGAATTAGAAAACAATAATAATAATAATAACAAAAAAATCTCCAAAACTCCCTAGCAGCGTATGTTGCTCGAAAAAAGAAAAAAGAAAATGATAAAATTTTAATCCTTTTAGGTGCAAATAAATTTTTTTGCAGAGAGTATAAGTATCAATTAGAAGAAAAAAAATTGAAATATATGTGTCAACTGTCATTTTCGATACTTGACAACAATATACCAAAGAAGAGATATCAATCAACCAATTCAACTTTAAACAAAGATATGGATCAATTATGTATAACTAGAGTTCGAATTCAAAGGAGGAATTCTGCGGACATTTGGTTCCAAAAAATCTTCCTCGAAAGGTAATTCTAATTTCAAAAAAGGTTTTTATTTTATTTTATTTTATTTTATAAAATTCTCAAATTATCTTTTTAAGTGCACTAATTCTTGGAGCACTATTTTTGTAACGACCCAAATGGATACCAAAATAATAATAAAAATCTATAAAAATTTCGGCATAACCTTCGCAGAAAATGTCTCTAAACAACCTATTGAAATACAAAAAATAAATACAATGGCCTCACTGGGTCTTAAATCTAACATATCCTGTCCCAACGCAACATACATATATTATATCACATCTCCAAAGTGACTACATACATACAAAATCCCATTCCTCCATCTCATCCAACAAGGAACATACTTTGGTTACATCAAGTTACAGTCCAAAAAGCGTAATTATAATTTAAAAGTCCATGGCTTACAACATTATACTAATTAAACTAAAGTTTTACGAGTTAGTTAATATTACATTTACAAAATATTAGAGAGTTTTAATACAAAAGATAGCAAAAAAAATAAAATAAAATAGGTCTCCGTGCTCGTCTAAAATCGGGGTGGATCGTCGTCCGCCACCTCTTTTCCATGTCCTGAAAAATGTTAGAAATAATGAGGTGAGCATAAACTCAGTAGGAAGTGTCTAAGACACACTTCTTATATCCCCGTGAATCCATACAATGAATAGATAAAAAAGTGAAAGGAATCATGCTATAAGGAAACACACACTCTCAAATACAATAACAATTATGTAACAAATACCACCCAATCACAAGTTTACCACAATGTCATGAAGTGCAATATGCAAATGTTACTCCCCATTTTCCGAAACATTTCCGTTTCAACTTCCAAAGCCGTTAGTGTAATCCGACCCAAGGCACCTCCAAGACGTCACGAATGGAGGGTTGACTAACTATCCACGACCACAAGGCACCTCCAAGGCGTCACATCCGGCCTAGTTAGCTCAACCATGATCCCTTCTAGACTACACTAACACCACGGACCACTAGGCGCCTCCTAGGCGTCCGGTTTTTGCAAACTCCTTTAAAAAAAATATTTTCCCCAAAATAATTTCGTTTGTTCAAAAAAAACATTTGTTTTTTCCCCCTTTCTCTTTCCCAATGAATGCATGAATGCGCATGCTTCAATTTACCAATTCAACCATAGGCTTTCATACATTCCATTTACATCATCATCACAATTTAATAAAAATTTATAAGCATTCATTTCTTTTATTTATTTATTGACCATAGCATCATTTTCTTTCAAAGCAATAAATTAATAAATAAATACATAATCTTAGGACATACAACATGTCAACACCAAACATGCTCAATCACCGTAATAAATCTAGTCATATATATGAATTCAAATAATACATAGAACACATTTAGCATTTTAGTTAAACATGCTTCAACCACAAACTAGATAATCAAAATTAGCATGCTTAGGATCAAATTTAAGGGGCAAAATTCACAAAAAGAGCTAAGAAGTTGTAGATTAGAACACCCCTACCTCAAATTGATGAAAACCCCCAATTTGAGCCCAAGAACCCTAGAATTTTGAACTCCCTAGAGTGCACCAAATGATGATTGGCTCCTATCAAATTAACGGGCTCGACGAGCTCAACAACTTTGCTTCACAATGTTCTACCAAAATCCAATTGGTGAAGATGAGATCAAAGCTTAAAATTACAAAAAGAGAAAAAGAAAAGAGATGCCGAGAGAAGGCCGGAAGCAGAGAGAGAGAGAAATATATGTCTGCATAATGGCCTTATGGCCTTTACTCATGTTTTTAAGTTATTGGTGGGCCCACCTACTTTTAAAAAAAAAATCTTAACTTTAATATATATACATGCACATATATATAAGCATAACTATTACAATTTTATCTTTTAATAAGAGTATATTTAAAAATTCACCCTTATTAAGATAATAAAAAATTATTAAAACTTCTTTACCATAAAAAATTGAATTCCCAAACAAATCAAATATTTTGGAACAGAGCCAGTAAGATAGAGACAAAAATTGCATTTGAGAATTTTTGAATGTTTATCTTTTAATAAGGGTATATTTAAAAATTCATTCTTATTAAGATAATAAAAAATTATTAAAACTTCATTACCATAAAAAATTGGATTCCCAAACAGATCAAATATTTTGAAACACAGCTAGTAAGATAGAGACAAATATTTTATTTGAGAATTTTCGAATGTCCTCCAGATTGCACAATCTTGCATCAACTGACTTTATTTGCAATGTGTCCAAGATTGGGCTTTGATTTTCAAGACTATATTCGGACTCTACTTTTATAAATTTGCATCCCACTTTTCTTTTTCCTTTAATGTGAATGACAAAATATTCGTAAGCAAATTAATGCATCGGTCTTTATTTTATAATACCATAACTATCATCTGCATTATAAACTTTATATTTTTTTACCTCTTTACTTCTTTCGAAAAGGACGATAAACCAATTGTCCCTCCTTAGGCTTACTTAGCATATTAAATGCACTAACTAATTTGAGATAAAATTACCATTTCACTGTCATCTTCTTCACCATTTTTCTTGTTATATTAGTAATTCCTCTATGCAGTATTGTTTTTGCTGAAAATTCTTCCTTTGATAAAATATTTTTCTTGAAGAACTATGTTGCAGTGAATGATATATTTTTTTTTTTTATGTTGTCTTCATTTAATATTATATATTGTTAATCTTTGAAAAAAAAATTTATATCCCAACGAAAAAAAAAAAAGAAGAAAATATTTGATTATTTGGAAGGTGAATTCTATGGATGTATATTTTGACATAATATTCATCTCTCTTTCTCTCTCTCTTTTTTCTTCATAAAATTCCTTTTCTTGGAATTTTATTGTCAAAACAGTTAGGGCTTTTTTCATCAACAAGAAAAACTTAAAGATTTAAATACATTCCAAATTAATTCTTAAAAATCACATCAAGGGAAAAAATTGAAATTAAATTCCAAACAAAAGAAAAATAAAAGAAAAAATTACCATCATCATTAGCATCAATGATCCCACATTTAAATAATCGGTGACGATGCGGATGATGTCGTTTTTGTTGGTAATTTGCAGATCATAGAAAATTTTTGATGTCATAAATAAAAGGGAAGCTATATTTGCACCAACTTTTCTACAATTATATTCCACTCTTAAAAGAAATGATACTTTTATTTTAATTTAATTTAAATTTTTTTTTTTCAAATACCATAATTACCTTTTCATTATTGAAATATATCTTTCTCTCAATCTCTTTTCCCAATTCAACTTTTTGGGTCACTTGCCTAGTTACCTCTCTCAATTATTTATATGCCTCTCTTTAATTAGGGTTTAATATTGATCTTTATATGTAACAATGGAGATTAGTGCATGAAATATTCAAGAACTATCAAAACGTATGGTATGGGCAAAGCAATTGCTAAGTTAGTGCTTACGCCCTCTCTCTCTCTCTCTCTCTCTCTCTCTCTCTCTCTCCCCCCCCCCCCCCCCCCCCCCCTCCTCAATTCACACCCTTTCTCTCTCTTCTCATCGGAAGCCTTAACATCCATAGTGTCACACTGCAATGCTTCTTGCTATTGCTTTCTCACCAATTGCTGTTTGGATTATTCTGAGCCTTATACTTTTCATGATGTATAGACACTTGAAATGCTTGAGAAAAGAGAGAGTACTTCAAAAGAAAGCTGCTGCAGAGGTTGAAAAGGCCAAGGAATTACCAAAGCAAAGAACAAGGGGGGTATGGTTCTGGATTTCATGCTTTTAGGTCTAGTTGATTATTTTAAAACAATGGTGGTTAGATAGTTCATGATTTGCTATTGTCTGCAACTTTTATTTCTTTGATGTCTTTTTAGTCCATAGGCTATTAACTTTAACGTCAGATCCTCATTTGTATTGCTATAAGTTTGCATCTCTGTTATTAGAACTCTACTTTCATTTCCAAGAATTTGGTTTTGCATTCAAGTCTTAATGTACTCCTCGCTTGCTTTGATGTAATAAATTACTATTGCTTTTCTATTGTACACCCTATTATGACAATAAACCAAATTTACCTAAGAAAATTAAGGTGGTGAACATTGATCATTATTGGTAAAAAAAAAAAAAAAAAAGAAAAAAAAAAAAAGAAAAAAAAAGAAAGGGAATTTTATCTCAAGGGTATTGGTGATGGACTGCGTTGGCATTTAGTAATTATGCAGTGTCTTTTAGCTTTTGGACTGTTTCTGCGTGGATATATTTTTTTGTTCTTGATGTATTAGTTGAATACTTTACGCAAGCTAGGTATATATAGTTCTTTAAATTATTAATTGTAAATCTCAATTGCTAATCATGCAGCGGCTATACAATGTTTGGAGAGGAAAAGGCTCTATCAACAACAAATTGACCAGCTTGGAAATTTCCAATTACATATCCATGATCAGGTATGCGCAAATTTTTTTTCAAACAATTCCACCCCCTTCTTCCTTCAAAATCATGTTACTAATTCATATAGTGATTAAAGAATGGTAGTTGAATTTCTGCTGCATTTGATGATTCAGAAATTAATGCGTCATAAATTTTGGTGTTGCAGATGATAATGTTAGAAGGTGCAAAAGCTACAACATAGACGGTTGATGCGTTAAGAACAGGAACAACTGCGATGAAGGCAATGCAGACAGCAACGTAAGTAGTCCTCTTTATTTAGCATCTCTGAAATTCTTATATTTGATCTTTAAGGTTTAAGCTAACAACTCACCTAAATAAAACCTTTTCCTCATTGATCATCTGAACAAAGACTTTTCCTTATTATTCTGGTTCGGCCATTGGATCATCGTTCGACTATTCTGTTTTATTAGGCCATAAACCTTAGTTAACCTTGTGCTAATTTTTTTTACCTTCTTTGTATCATAGCCCTTTCCCATAGTATTACTTCAATGTGGATCACCACATCACTGTTTCGTTGTCTTTGTAGTTGTTCTAACTGATATATATTTTTTGAAATGGCATCTTATTTACAGTAACATTGATGATGTGGATAAGACGATGGATGAAATAAACGAGCAAACTGAGAACATGAAACAGATAGAGGAAGCATTGGCTACACCTATTGGTGCAGCAGCTGATTTTGATGAGGTTTGCCATCTATTTACAATCTTTTGGTTCCCTTGTAGCTCCAATTGGATGGATTCATAGAGGACTCGTTCTAATTTGGTCCTTTATGTTCTCGTAACTGTATATATATGCAGTGATATGTCTGATATTGAGTAAAACTTGTTACTGCAGGATGAACTGGAAGCTGAGCTTGAAGAATTAGAAGGTGTTGAATCGGAGGAACAGCTTCTTCAGCCCGCATCGACAGCCCCTGCGGCTCCAGTGCAAGTCCCAGCAGGCAGGCAACCAGCTCGACCTGCTCCTCAGAGGTGCACAGTTGAGGAAGATGAACTTGCTGCATTACAGGCAGAAATGGCACTGTGGGCAGGTGCTTTTTCCATGTTATCTGTAATTGATCCCTGTTTATTTGTCAATGTGGCTTTCAAGTTCTATAAGTGGCTGTTGTAACAGCAGTTTATATATCAGAGGACTTATTGGTATAAGGGAAACACCATAGTTTCTTTGATCTCCATTCTCCACTCAAAACTGTTCTACTCCAACACTATTTTGTGTATATTATGAGGCAATTTGCTTAATATATTTTCAACTGGAAAAACTTCTATTTAGCTAATAAATGTTTTGTAGCAATATTCAGAGTTAAATTTATTATGACATATATCTCAGTTGTTCACAGGTATTTTAATGACGAGACAATAGGTTCATACACCGATACATATTGTATCATTCATCTGTTGTCTTGAGGAGAAAAGGCAGTATCAAAAAAGGAGTGGATTTCTAGATCTTAGATCTCAGGGACTTCCATGGATCGGTCTCTATAGATTTGTTATGAGAGTTGTCTGAATCCCATTTCTTAGTTGGTTCTCTACAAGTGAAAGATCGAGTTTTTTCTTTCTTCCTCCTAAAAAAAATAAGAGGCCTGAAAATATTTAAATGCAAATCCGATTAGAATGGCCCTTTGTATCTTTTACCAAAGCTTAGCTGTATTTCTTTCACCATTTAAAGTGAATGATGGTAAAGTTGGAGTATCCAAAGAGATAAAAGTGAGTGAGTAGTGCGCACGCATTTTTGGTTAATTAAAAAAAAAACAAAACTTATTTTATTAAAGAGTTAATAACTTAGCCCGGCCGAAGCTGTATCATAAAAATATAAGTGGACCGAATAATGAACTCAAATCAATTTTTAATTGAAGCTGTATCAGAAAGAGTAATATCCTGCATCATAGCGCGGACCTCCTCACGAAAATTAGCGATGTTGTGTCGCACCTCTTCGCGGAAGCCAGTCATCTCTCGCAGCTCTCACCTCGGAAGTCTGCGAACTCTGTCTGCAGTCGGGTCACTGTCCCCTGAAGCTGAGCTACAACACCCTCTATCTAAGTCATCTCAACTTGCAAGGTGGCGTCTGAACTGGGAGGTGCTCAACTCTACCCAATACCTTAAGTATTCAAGTTAAGAGGGTTAAGAGGGCAAACGTATGATCCGTTGGTGTGAGAGCCAAATCCAATCGTTGATCCGGTATCACGTCAAGTGCCCTTCATGACGTGCAACACCCGTAAGGTGTCCGGGTCAAGACCAGGTAGGCAAGGTCGGGCACGGACTGGCTCCCACTGAATTTTTTATATTTCCATTTTAGACCTCATTTTTTTTTTTTGAATTTATGAAGATACCCCCACTAAAATTACGATTCGCCCTCACTAAATTCTATTTTTTTAATATATATATATATATATTATACTTTAAATTTTTGAGAATTTATAAAGATGCCCCTACTAAAATTACAATTTACCTTACTAAATTAATATTTTTTTTTTTCATTTTATACTTTAAATTTTTAAAAAATTATGAAGAAAACCCCATTGAAATTACAAAAATGAACCCACTATATAAGTTTGCTCCACAAATTAAAAGGTTGCCCCTCCTCACAAAATTTTCTAGGTCTGTCACTGGGCAAGGTGGCCCAGCAAGTTCAGATGGGGAGAATCACTACAACAATTATGGTCTCTACCAGCACTTTTATTTGCTGTCAAAAGTATTAAAAAAAAAATCTGCCACAACTACCTGGCAGCATTTATGACGACATTTGTATTTGTTGTCATAACCTGTGTCCGATAGGCATGGCAGCAATTGTATCTGCTGCCATATATGAAAAGCATACGGCAGCAATTGTATATACTGTAAAAAATGACGCTTATTTTTAAAGGTTTTAAGCAATTTTAGAAAGAAAAAAAAATTAAATTTTATAATCAATATCAATTCATTCATAAACCAAATTTACTAACCAAATAAACCCAATCCATAATAATGACACTCATTTTTGAAGGCTATAACAATATATTTAAATGAAAGATAATGTAATGTATGGACAATAATTTGCATTTTGTATATTTAAATGAAAGATAATGTAATGTATGGACAATAATTTGCATTTTGTACGATGTTGCTCAACGCAAGGCTCAAATTTCTATAATCAAGACACCTCCATAATCCGTGCAATATATAGAAATTGATAAAAACTCCATTACAACAAATTAATCAACCCTCAAAAAGTTGTGTGTTTTTTGAAGTATAGAAAAACTGGTATACTTCCATCATCTCTCTTCTCCTTGTGAGCACTTGCACCAAAAAAAGGAACAAAAACTCGATGGCAGGAGAAGAACAATGCCCCTCACAAAGCACCCACTTCGTGGGTTTCAGCAGCCTCCTTCACGAAGTTGAGTCGAGCTTGCTTAGTGCGCTTGCTAGGATCTGGAGAAAACAAATGAGAAATAAGAATCAATTATAGTGTCATTGTGGCAATGGTAATGCGTAGGTAAGAAAGAAGGAAAGAGCTTCACCATCTTTTGCTTTGCTTTTGTTATTAGATGAAAGTATAGTGGATTTCCAATCCTCATAAGCAACTTTCTCCACTCGTTTACGCTTCTTGTAACACGAAAGCTGCAAATGGAATCACGTCGACCTCGAGTAGATGAAATAAAAGATACACAAACTTGTTCATTGTGAGTTGTTTGTTTTTCGCCAAACGCATACTTCATGTTGTGCTAAATATTGCAACTTAGCTTTATTTCGACCTAAAATATTCCTTTAGAAATTTTTTTTTTTTTTTTTTCAGATAAAATATTCTTTTATTTTTATTTTGTCGGTGTTTTCAAAAGTCTACGTTAAAATTAAAATTGAGATCGAGTCCATCGGGCGGGACATGTAAAATAACTTACAAAATTGATGGATAGGTTATTTTTCTTAAATTTTAATATTTTTTTTTTTCGTAAATATTTTACGACAACCAAACACCAAAAAAATAAAAAATATATTTTCTGAAAAATATTTTACGGCTGTTTACCGAACACCAAAAAAATAAAAATATATATTTTCTGAAAAATATTTTACGTCCAAACAAACAAACGGAGTTAATCAAAAATCATTTCATACATAACCACTTTGGTCACATATTTTGTCATGTGTCCTATTTCAATCATTTGTTTTGCAGGTGCGCAATCTGAACTGAATAGATCAAATTGTGTCAGATTAAACAAGATTATATAGTTATCATTTGTCAAGGCTTCATAAAGCTTGACGTGTAAGAGACTACTTATAATTTTGAAGTTACTTTCTCAGCTAATTCGGATAAAGTACCAAGTTGACAATAAGGAAATAGGTGTAGCTTTAAACGAGTTATTCAACCGATCACTTGTGGATCTTGTGAGTGGATACATATTAACGATGTTACAGAAGCTAGCAAAAATTTTAAACCACCATGCATCTTCCTACACTGATACCATCTACTAACACTAAAAAGAACATGCTTTATAAAATAAATGGCCAAAAGAAAAAAAAAATGAAAAAAGTGCTTTAGCAAATAAATAATAAGAATCAAGATTAAAGATGCTGTGCTTGTGAAGTACCACGATCATCAGACAAATAACCACCATCTTCAAATGTTCTTTTCTCAGGCAATGCATCTATCAATTCTGTGTACAGGTGCCAAGTTTCAGAAGGAATTGATGAAAAAGAGGTTTAAGTTTCCAAAAACACTATAAAGAGGCAATAATCATTACTAAATCACATGAATGAGCACTGGAATATGAATATGAAGGTTGTAAGCTTAAAGAAAACCAAAGCAAGTCATACCTCGGTTCCCTTTCACATCTCTTGGATCTTCCTTTTCCTTTGATATCCCAAAAACATCATGACACAGGTCCTTCATGGATGTAGAGACCTGCAAGATCAAATTTGACAATAAAACATGAAAAGAGATCCAAGAAAAATATAGTGCAGAACAATAGATGACAAAAATGAAACTTAGGGTGCTTCTTACACTGGAAAATTCAGATTTTGATGTGCCACAGAGTTCGATTAACTTAATTTTGTCTACCTTGAGCTGTGTATTAAGAAACAAACAAGCAAAAAATACTGAAAGGTCTTTCAACTGTTCTTTCCTCCACAGACGCATACTAAACCAGAGAAGCAGATACTATTAGCTAACCTTGTGTCTTTTTGCCCACAAGTAGAACGCCATGCCAATTCTCTTATATCAAGCTGATTCCTACAAAACACCACCAAGCCTCATTTTACACAAATAATACAAACATCTATATATCTATATATATGTATATACAAGGTGTCAATAAGTAGTATGTTTCATTCCAGTTTCCACTGAAACTGGAAAGATCCAATTGAATTGTAGGAACAAAGAATTACAACCTGATAGTTGAGATATGGAAAAAAGCAGGGTAAAGAAGCAATGGAATTTTTTTTTTGTCTACGTATCCTATCAACCCTATGAAAAAATTAATGAATAAGCTCAATTGCAAAGCTCACTTCTAACTTTGAAAATCCTTATTTCTTAGTCTCAACTCTTCTGAAAAGGTGGTGATGAAGCGGCAGTTGCTATGGAGTTCAAAAGCCAAAATTCTCAGTGACTTCGATTCCGGCTGTTGTATATCACCCTAAAATAAAAACAACAATGCCTCTTTTTCATTCAACATAACAGTTCTAGGCTTTAGCAAAAATATAAAATTGAAACATGGGACTCCATCCACGTTAATCGTCCTTGTGTTTGACAACACCAAGTCATCAGTTATGACACAAGTAATCTGATCAGATAGAATGGGTCCATGGGCCACTTCTACAGTTTAATTTGAGCAGCTAAGCCGACTCAGATTAAACTGGTTTGTCTTCCCTACAACTACAAGATTGAAGTAGCTTCACGTAAACTAACATAAGAAATAATTCCTCAGGTAGAAATTCCAAAGCCTTCTCATTTTGTGCGACAATAGCCATAGAATTGAAACCAGGATCCACAGTTTACCTGAACCCACCACATCTGAACAACAGTCACTAAGAAACCTTTTAATTTCATAACCAAAAAAGTGCACAACTTACATTCCATCCATGGAAGGATGTACAGAAGAGGAAGATTTGTCAATATTTTACACAAAGTGGCTGCTCTAAGACTCTAACTCCACATCCTAACACATTTGTTAGTTTGAGTTATGCCATTCCGCCAGGCAATGACAACATCCCTTTAGTTTTTTAACAAAAAAATAAATAAAATAACTAACAATTATAATAAAGAAATTCAACCACCACCATGCAACCTTAATAAAATAATAAAAATTAAAAATAAATTCAACTGCGGATGCAATCCGACTTTAAAAATTTATAGCTGTCATTCTGAGTAGAGGAAAATCAAGAATATTGGAATTGTAAACTAATATTATCCAGTAGCTTGCAGGTTTATTACTTTCTTTTATGTTCTCATTTTATTGTAGATTAGAAATATCTAGTCAGAACCTAATCTATTGACAAAATGAGTCGAAACCTATATAAAATTGCAGTGATACATTACATATTAAATACATTACAGGAGCACAAATGGTATCAGCCATAAGACATGAAAAAAATCTAATGAAATCACACCTCATGTTTCTGAAAAAAATTAGTAAAATGAAGTCAAGTGTTAGTCTCCAAGATGAGCAAGAAGATAAAAGCTTCAATTAGGGATATCAATCAACAAGATAATTCAGGATAGTAAAAGATTCTAACTGATTTAGGGGAGAGGGAATAAACTAAAATCTGTCCGTTAGTGTAATTCTTGTATGGTTGGCAAATTCCATTCCTAACTCTGTTAGCTAGAGTGCGAACAAAATGGTGTTTATAACCAATGGTTTGCCAAAGGGTCGTCACTGAAGACTAAGATACAGATAGGGAAGGCTACATCAGAACATTTCATCAAAATTCCCAGTGATGCTCAATCATGTTAGGCAAAGCTAAGAGAGACCTTAGAGAACTTAGGAAATAGGTTGGTAAAGGTTAAGATAGTTTGAACCACCCTATACCTAGGTTTGGTGCTTAATTGGTAATTGTCAAAGTGTATTTAGATTGCATAAATATTTCAAAATGTTAAATTTGACTTTAGGATGAATTTGGAAACAGTACACAGTTGCACTGGTCCATGTTATTCTTGCACTGATCCAATTTACTGCTGGATCAGTAGACACTTACACCGGTTGAGCTTTGCTTTGCACCTGCTTAAGTGTATCATGTGGGAATATATTGAAGATCAAAATGCAGTTGGACCGATCCAACTTTGACCAGTTACCAATTGCACCAGTCGAACATCAACTTTGACCAGTTACCAATTGCACCAGTCGAACATCTACTTGCACCGGTCCAACTTGTCGGTAATCCTAATCCCTCAAGGACTTGATTCCATGTTGGACACTACTGCGAGGGCTTTCTTCATTCATAAGTAGGAGTTTCACAAGATCTTCTTTATGAATACTTGTGATAGAGTTGAGAGCAAGGAGTTTCATTATGTTTGATCAATATCAACTGGAAATTCATCATCTGAACCATTTTTCATGGAACTGAAGACAGAAAGCACTAAATCAATTGAGAAGAGGGCAGATAGTTTGTTTGTGGAGCAGTCGTGTTCGACTATTAACGGCTCGTTTTGCAAGATCGTGGGTGTGAGTCTAAAGTCTACACTGAGCCCGTAAGGATTATTGTAGGAAATTAGGCGTTAGTCATTGACAATTAACAACCAGGTCTTGGCAAAGTTCATCTGAGCAAAAGTCTATAACACAATTAGCCAAGGATTTTCAGTAGCCACTCAACCAAAAAATACATAAGAATCTCCTCAACCATGCAATGATGCAACTCCATTGGAGATGCCTCCTTAATGCCCTCTAAGAGGGTAAGACTTCTAGCCTTAATAACATGATCATTATCAGTTGGCTTTTCGAGGCTAGAATAATATTTCTAAATGATCTTTAATATTTCCTCCAATTCCCATCTCACCAAAATTATCCACCCCCATAAAATTTACAAGGCATAGAGGCAACTTTTAAGGTAGGGAGGCGCTTCTGACATAAAGGATTTCCGTCCAATTAGTCTGGTGGGTTGTATTTACAAACTTATTGCTAAGGTGCTTGCTCTAAGGATGAAGGAAGTAATGGATGGGATTATTTCGGACTCCCAGAATGCCTTTGTTGGAGGACGACAAATTCTTGATTCAGTTCTTATTGCTGACGAATGTGTGGATTCTAGATTGCGAAGTGGTATTCCTGGAGTATTATGCAAACTTGATATTGAGAAAGCATACGATTATGTGAATTGGAATTTCCTACTCTATTTGTTACAAAGAATGGGGTTTGGAAATAAATGGAGGAAGTGGATCGAGACTTGTCTTTCATCTGTCAAGTTTTCTATTCTTGTGAATGGCTCTCCTGCTGGCTTCTTTGGTTGTACCCGGGGCATAAGACAAGGTGATCCTTTGTCATCTTTCCTCTTGTCGTTGTTATGGAGGGATTAAGCAGACTTATGCACAGGGCAGAGGACCTTGGCTTTATTAAGGATTTCAGAGTGGGTAGAGATTTAGCCCATCAAATGGAGATTTCTCATTTACTTTCCGCAAACGATACCCTGGTTTTCTGTGATGCTGATGTGTCTCAACTTTGTTATTTGAGGTGTATCCTAACTTTTTTTCAAGCGGTATCCGGGCTAAAGGTCAATGTGGGCTAAGAGTGTGCTTATCCCAATAGGGAATGTTCAGGATATCTCCTCCTTAGCTGCAGTTCTTAGATGCAGGGTGGGTTCTTTTCCTATTCCTTATTTGGGGTTGCCCTTTGGAGTCTCTTCAAGGATAGTGGGGAGTTGGGATTCAGTGATTGACAGGTATGCGAAGAGATTAACAAGATGGAAAAAAACAATATTTGTCCAAGGGGGATAAAGATACTCTTATTAAGAGTACGTTATCGAGCCTTCCCACTTATTTTCTTTCTATGTTCCAAATCCCTTGTTCCGTTGCGGATAGGATTGAAAAAATTCAAAGGGATATCCTATGGGGAGGAAGGGGAGATGAGTTCAACTATCACCTTGTCAGATGAGAGCAAGTTGCCTGTGAAATTGGGTGGACTTTGCATAAGGCGAATTGTTCCTTTCAATCAAGCCTTCCTAGGTAAATGGTTATGGAGATATGGAAGGGAAAGACACCGTCCTTGGCGCAGGTTAGTTTCCTATCGGTTTAGGGAAGAAGATGGAGGCTGGTCTACACGTCCGGTTACTCTTGTGGGAGGAGTAGCAATGTGGACGTCTATTCAGAAGGGTTGGGACGCCTTATCTGTTCATATCAGATTCAAAGTTCTTGATGGACGTCGCATTCGGTTTTGGGACGATCTTTGGTGTGGTGATTAGCCACTATCTCGTTCATTTCCTAGATTATTTAGTATTGCAGTTGATAAACACGCCTTTGTAGTTGATTGTTATCGTATGATAGCAATAGGATTACGTGGGATGTGCACTTTCGGCGCTCTTTTCAAGATTGGGAGATAGATGACGTATGTGTTTTTTTGGATCTTCCATATCGGCAGGAGGGTATTGGAAGGAAATGATGATTTGATTTGGGTCCCTTCTTCCCAAGGTCATTTCAAAGTAAGATCCCTGTTCTTATGTCTGTCTCATTTTGTTAATTTTGTCTTCCCGTGGAAAACTATTTTGCGATCCATGGCTCCAACTAGGGTGGCTTTCTTTGTTTGGACTGTTGTTTGGGGAAAGATTTTGACAATTGATAATTTAAGGAAAAGATGCAATTGTATTGTTAATCGGTGTTGTCTATACAAGAAAGATGGGGAGTCTGTTGATCACCTCCTTATGCATTGCCCTGTGGCGAATGACTGTTGGAATCTTATTTTCGGGTTGTTTGGCATGTGTTGGGTAATGCCATGATCTACTAAGGAATTGATTCATGTATGGAGAAGATGTCGCGTGAGAAGAGATGTACGCAATTTCTGGAGAGTTATCCCACATTGTGTTTGGTGGTGTATTTGGAAGGAGATAGTAGAATGTTTGAAGATAAAGAGTCGTCTACGGCAATGGTGAAACATCACATTCTTCTTTCTCTATTCAATTATGTGAAGAGGAGTTCTTGCTCTTCTTCTGATGATTTAATTATTTTTTTGGATTCTTTGGGGCCTTAGTCCCGGTTCCATTTTTGTATAAGGGACGCGTTCCCCTTTTGAACGCCTTTTTATGCCATTTTACTTAATAAAAATAAAAAAAAATAAAAAAAAATAAAAAAACATTTACTCAAAGGAACTCTCCTAAAAGCTTTAGTGATGGAGGCCTAACTAGATTTCAAGAAAGTAATTGTACCACATCTCTTCTTACACCTTTTCAAACTTCTGGTGCCTCAGAATTGAATCAAATCCCTCCTTAATGTTGATGCATTATATAGTCGATAAATCTTCTCCATTGGTTATCCCCATTTGATTGGCTTATGGAAATGAACCATGACCATTTATACCCATTTCTGCTAGAGTCAATTAATACAACATGAAGGGCCTATGAAATCCATAGTCAACCATGCGTGCCTTTACTAAGTATTTAATTTAAGCTCAATCACTCCTCTAAAAAGTTTAGACTATCACTCATTTTACTACAATTGTGTTTGCAACTCATTTTCTCATTTGTAAGTACCATTATTCATCATATTAAATTAATTATTGCAATATTGTTCTTTCAATGATATAAAATTCTTGCATTGCCAAATGAAAAGGGGCATTCTGTGGGAGACAAACACTAAATCTGTGCCACAAATCTCTATATGTTGCTTGAGGGATCATGCTTTCAGTTTCCAAAAATCTCAAGGAAGATCAGTATGACTGCTGAAGGAATGTCCGTAACTAACCTTTTCAATGTTCACATGAGGAGATGCACGTGATTTGTCAATTGACCATTTTAAACAGGGCTTTATGAGAAGACAGACTCTTGAGAAAGAAAAAAGATTTTTACAAAAGGTAATAGTCATTCCCTCGAAATGTATAATGCCCTACATTAAAAATACGAGTCCAAGACAAGATAAATAGAAAACCAGCTGCCTATTTAATAAAAATATATGCTATATTTGAAGTGGGAGGGGGGGAATGAGGTTAAGAACTTAGATGATTCAACAACCATGATTCTATTGATTTTAAACAGAAGAGTGCTGGATTGGAACTGATTTACATACACACATTGAATGTGTTTAGTAATGGTAATTTTAAGACAAACAGGTTATAGAGTACAAGCAAGCAATGCTATTTTGAATTCCCTACATTAAAAATAAGAGTCCAAGACGAGATAAACAGAAAACCAGCTGCCTATCTACCAAACTAAACAAATTAGTAACAAAACAGAATACTAAAAAGATACTCTTTGACTACACGGTGGGGAAAAGGATGAAAAAATAGAAAACAAAATTGTTGATTCTTTTTTAAGGTTTGAACTGATGATAATCATAGTGTTAGACCACCTAAAGGTTAGGAGTTGATTCTTCTCTGCACATTACTGTTGGTTTTAAATTATACCAATTACTAACATATATCTGACTAGATTAGACCTGAGAGATATGTGACCTTGAAAGGGTTTTGCTAATTGAGCACGAAAAGTAAGTAAAAAAATGTAGCAGTCATGAAAATATAACAACTGTAATCACATAAAATGGAATATGTACCTGTTGCATCAACAGCACTGGGTAACATTGCAGAAGCAGGAGGTTGAAAATCATGCCCAACAATGCTCTCCAGCACCGAAGACTTCCCACAACTCTATACACCACATCAATAAGAAGTAGAGAAATCAGCATCCATCCTACTTTTAAATCAAATACTCCAATAAATTACGGCATAAATATTAACTGAATTTGTGAGTTTAGTACCCGCAGTTCACTAAAGATTTTTGTCAAGTTTCTGGATGCATTGCAGGCCCATTCTCTAGCTGAAGACATTGCGTTACTTCCTCTTGTTGCTGCCGTTCAAACCATGTGTTGGCATCCGCTCAAACTGAAAACCAGAAAACAAAATTGGCATTATCAATCAACAAGTACAACATGGACCACCCAACTGTACCATTTTTCAAGAAAAATAAAGATCAAGTCAACTAAAAATGAGTTTCACCCATTTATCATCTTTGTTATCCACCAAGTATCATCCTTCTCTACATATAACCTGAAAATAAAATATTTAACGTATTAGAAACCAACAATTATTATTGAATGAATACAAGCCAACAAGTGAATACACCGTTGAAATTTCTGTTTCTGAGGTAGGCAATCTTTGCTGATTTTAGTGAATATCAATGTTTTAACATTGAACTTGTTTTAAAAAAGAATTGGAAGCAAAAAATAAAACACACACATTGAATAACATTGAACTTGTTTTAAAAAAGAATAGCATTGAACAGATTAAATCACGTGTCACATACATTGTGATTTGATTAGAACCGTCAACTACTTTACAATAGATGATCCAGCTCTATAGAATCGATCCATTTGATGCCATATACATAGACAATCAACTATTTTTAAATATTATAATAATTGAAAATTTATACTGCTTTCATTACAACCATATGGTCTAAAAAATGTTCATTTAGATGGCAATGTGTTAAATGGCTTCTGCTAGGTTTCGATAGAAATCGGCCAAATTGTTGAAAAATTCTGATATAAAAACCAGAGCAACATCACTCTCTACAAAGGAGACTAGAGCACAACAGTAAATGAAGGTACCGTCATAAATTGATGTCATTTTTTCCTCTTTCCCTGCATAAAAACAACAGTCAGCTTTGGGACTTCTTAGCTGCTTGGAAAATAACCGCATTAGAGAATCAATAACAAATAATTACTGAGCTCACGTGGTCATCCATTAATAATTGCTTCCTCTTCTTTTGAGTTGGAGGGGGGCTCTCAGCTGCCTGCCTTGCCAGAGCATGCTTTGATGGTGTATTGTTCTGAAAAAAAAAAAAAAAAAAAAAAATGGTGAGATTTATGAGGTTCGAAGGCATGGGGACATTGGCTTTAAGTCCAAATAATTAGCCACTCTAAACCAGAGCCTTCGAAACCCATACCATACTGACCGGATTGAGGGTTGAAATCCGATGGAAATTTAGTAGGCATCTTGCTCTAAAAGAAGCCGGGAAAAGAAGCAGCAGTTTGAAATCCCCGCCCCGCCCCACCCTTGCCGAACCACTGTGATGAGGGGATCTCGGAGATGAGATATAGCAAGTGAGCCTTTTTTTCCTCAGTTGAAAAGAGGAGGAAGCAAAGACTAGGAGCAAACCTCAGACTAACAGGCGACCTTCCCTCAGAAGGAGGATCTCAAGCTGTTCCAACTGATCCAATGAGTTAGCCCGTATTCTTTCTTGCTGGGCCATACAGAAGCCCCAGCAAAGAGGAAAGCGACCCCCAGCAAGCTCAACCAATTCCTCTTCTCTACCCTTTCACTAGGGAATTTGAAATCAAGCTTGTATTTAATCAACTAGCGTAACAGTGGAGACTAATAAGAATAATAAAGTTACTAATAAAAAGCTGAAAGCACCTCCCCTCTTTCAATGTTCTTGATAATCCTATCGTAATGTGGTAACACCATGTTTGCAAAATAACGAATTAAAATCTCAAGTCTCAAAGTTCAGAAGAGAAGGGTTTTTAACTAAATTAACAACTTCTTCGAAACAACATTAAGAAAATTTATTAAACTAATTTCATACTAACAAGGTTACTAGGGAGTACAAAATTTACGAGTTCCCCTAAAAATATTAATGTTGTTCTGATCATGCAAAGAAAATGATATGAATTAAAGAATAAAAAAAGGAAGATAGAAAAAGCTACCTTTCCAGTTTGTCACATCTAATTCAGTAGGACAAAAGACAAAATTAAGGGTACATTAGTAACTAAGTATAATTCATCAAGCTAAAAAAATAATAATAACAATATAACAATGGTAATAAAGGTCCACAATTCAAAGCAATGCAACATGAATGAATTGGACGCACGTAATCTGAAGTGGGGTATCCATCAATCTAACGTTTCCAACTAAAGATTTTTGTCAAGTTTCTGGATGCTAATATGTGCAATGTCAACTAGAGATTAGGTATAAAGATTTTTGTCAAGTTTTTGGATGCTAATATGTGCAATGTCAACTAGAGATTAGGTATGTTGAGAGTGAGATTCTTAAACTGATTCATACATGATACAGTTACATATGTGATGAAATAAAATAGAGGAAATAGATCTATTTTCTAGAAACTGTTCATCTACGCATCTAACAGTCAAAGCTAATTCAAAAAATTAATAAAATGGGCTAAAATTTAGGTAACAATATCAAGAATGGAACACTTGCACCTAAAAAATTCAGAATCTCATATGAACAATCAATAAGCATTTGTTGATAAAACTGCATTTCACAAGATCAATGGAGTTTAATAGACCGTAAAATGATGGGAAAAAATAATAATAAACTCATTCTACAACAAATCTCAGAAGTTGGATGACTCCCGTAACTTTTCTGCATAATGGATAACAATATTGATGCAAAAAAAATTCAAATACAATTTAAATTCTTACTGAAATTTGTTCAAAACAGAGAGAACCTAAATTTGCGCAATTTCATGCATAGTATTAGTAATGCTACGCTCCTAAAACGGGAGTGGAGAAAGAAAGCAACATCTTAACATTGTTTTGGACTGAAAAATAACAAATGAGCCAAACCCATTTGTTGAAGCTGACTACGGTAGAGATTACTGAGATTAATTTCCAACAGCGCACTCGGGGAAACCTGCATCAATGACCATGTGTAAAACAGAAACATTCGCCACCAAATATATCAATAAATTGACCACAAGAAGATGTAGCATCAAAGCTTTAGTGAACAATACAAATCTTTGTCATCTAATTTTATATTTCCCAATTGACAGTGATATTGCTACACTTTGAACATCCTGACCAAGAGTGCCATGGTACAAGGTGACTTTACAATCAAAATCCTAATCCATTCTGTTAAAAAAATATCCTGAAGGAATCAAATTTAGAACAAGGTATAGTACCTAAATTCTGATTTCTGAACCTCAGAAGAGTTTCTACTTCAATGTAATTACAATGTGTCAAACCCTACAGGTATTTTTTTTTTTTTTTTTGTGAAAAAATAAAAAAAGGAAATTCTAAACGAGTCCCGCTATTCCCCGTTTCCAGCAACTCCCCGTTTCCAGCAACGCTTCCAAATCCTTGATAAAGGCTATGAGTTAGAAGTGAATTTCTAGTTTACAAACAAGCACTAGACAAGAAAAGTACCAATTTGGTGACTAGAACCACCTATTCATTCTCTGATTTTTCAAATTTACTCCATATCAATATCTGATCAAGTCAAACCCCAAAAATCTGAACAAGTACTTTTTAATTCATACAAATATTATTGTATTCTGACAAGTTTCTTGTTAGATCGATCAAAAACTAGAAAAATACCAATATCGAGGTCAACATACCAAGATGAAACTTGTGACTGCCTTCATAAACCTTATAACATACAAGTCACAAATACCAAAGGAAAATAAAATTGAAACGCCAGAAAAATAAAACTCAACCACCCAATTTGAAGCTCCAAAAAATAAAAGCATATACATACACACACATACAGAGAGAAAAAGGGATATGAGCCGAAATGAGATGAAAAAGGCCAAACAATCTGCATTAACAACAACTACATATATATGTCATTTTTGTTGTAGTGTCACAAACAAGAACAACGGGTTACACTTGTTCCTTCTATCATTTTTGCTGTTTAGAAGTAATCCATACACAGCAATTCCTAATAATTAATATAGTTCTTAGTTCCTACATAATAGAGTTCTAGACTTCTAGTACAATTTGAGTGCATCTTTAGATTTTATCCTTGTAAGGTTCAACAAAGACCACCCACCCATCTAATAACTTAGAATTCATTGCTTCTCTGCCCTTTTCTGCTGCTTCAATGGATGCATACTCCACAAAACCACACCCCATGGAAATTTTTAATTCTGGATCTATAACAACTTCAGCTGCAAAATCATTTAAGCACCAAATTACTCACAGTGTTTCTGACATATCAGGATGAAAGCAGAGTTCTAAAACAATTAAGCGTGACATAACAATGATAATAATAATAATGATAGCTATATAAGTCATTATGCAAACCTTTAAGAACTTCGCCATATTTTTCAAAAGCATTTCTAAGCTTTTTGTCGGTTATTGACCTAGAGAAACCTAGATCAACATTCACAAAAAAATGGGTGTCAATGATCCTTCAAAAGGAGAAAATAAAACCCTTACCATGAAAGATTCAAAAGATCAAATCAGAAGTAAAGTGGGAACTCCAGGGAACATGACATAGTATCTACAATCATGATAAATGTCCATCATCCTATTATTTACAGTGACCTTCACACTTCTCACACAAGTTAAGACAAGACAAGATACTGAGAAATTGATTTGATATGGACATATACTCTTTATATATATATTCTAAAGAGAACGCCTAACCCACAATTTTTCTTATCACTAACCACAACTATAGATGATAATGATCTTTCGAAAAAAAACTATAGATGATAATGACATGATACCGAGAAATTGATTCGATATGGAGATATACTCTTTATATATATATATATATGGACATGTACTGAAAATTGAGAAGTACTACTGTATTTAGTTTGGAATTTTCTTTGAGTGAATTCCAAAATTGGTACTACAATAAAAGAATAGTGTAAATGGAGAAATTAAATTATGGAGTAAAATTTTCAATAGTGTCAACTTTGGCTAAATACAAATCAAGTAAAAATATGTTTGTGAATCGAATTAAATGGCTATAAAAAAGAGCAGCATGCTTATATCTTTACTAATTTTCGAATCACTAGCACATGCCATGGTGTATATGATAAGGTTGACAATAAAGATAAAAGATAGTCTACGAGTTGTTTGGCCGAAATTCTGGACTTATTATATGAATTTAATAATAATAAATTTTATACAAGGGATCGAAAAGTAAAATTATCATTTTATAAAGATTGGTTAACAGTTCAGTCGAAAAGAAAACGCTAGGAATATTTAACACGTAATTTGTTTAAACCTCATAATTAGGCCACTGTAATTTACCCTAATTCCATCTCTAATGACCCATAAAAAAAGCCAGGTTGATGCAAACAAATTGATATGCCAAAAAAGCCAGGTTCGACCTTCACATATTCTAAAGAGAAGGCCTAACCCACAATTTTTCATCCTTCAAAAATACTCGCTACTTTTTACAGGTTATACTATTACCTCAAGCAAAGTCTTTCAAAGAGTGAACTACGTTGCTGATTTTACATATCAGAAAACTTGAACTATTTACATGAGCCCTGTAAACCCTCGCGAGGAGGAAATTTCTCTACTCATAATAGAATCAAATGCATAAACAAAGATGAAATATAATAAGAATAGAGAAACACGAATTACATGAATATTATACAGAGATGAATAATCTAACCTGAACTGAGACGAAATAAGTAAGCGACGAAATCCAGATGAAAAAGCCATCGAATTGGAATCGAGGAGCAGAGATTAGAAATGAGAAATGAGTAGGTCGAACCTGGCTTTGAACTTCTGATTCTTGTAGATTTTGTAGTTTGCAGTGGTATAGAGAGAGAGAGAGAGAGAGAGAGAGAGGCGGGGCAAGTTCAGTGAGAACGAGAATATGGATGGAGGCGATTGGGAAAGCTGAAATGATTTGCCCTAAAAATATTATTTGTTTTTCTGGTGGCCCATCATCCATAGGCCTATAAATTTAATAGTTAAATTTATATGTTTATATTTTAAAATATAAATAGGTATAATAGTAAAATTTTTTAAATAGTTTCAAAATTTTGTAATAATATTTTATTTTTCATCATAATGTTACAAAATTTGAAAGTACACCAATATGTCGTTTCGCTGTGGACAAAAAGTCGTGGGTTAAAAAAATAATAACAAGAGTCTCTCTCTCTCTCAAAATTTTAAGCCATTATTTTAAATATAAGGGTAAAGTTCATTAAACCTATCTGAACTAAGGTATTTGCACAAAATCTCTTGAATTAAAAATAATCTCCTAAACTATTAAAAAGTTGTAGTTGAGGACAACATGTGAGGTGTTTGGTACCAGAAAGAGAATATTACAAAATTACCCATAATGAAACTGCACCGTTTTGATGCTTTATAAACTCATGTTGCTGATGTGTCATATAAAATTTCAATAACCAATCAAAATTGGACAGCACACCACCTACCCCACCTCATTTTAGCACCCGTTCCCACAATCCCACCTCATTCTAGCACCACTAAAGACCACCTCAGCAACAGACCTGGAAAGGTCACAAAGCACCAACGGCAAAGCAACGATGAGGACGACGACACCAAACACGCGACCTGGAACAATCACGTAACACCAGTGACGAAACAGTGATGAGGACGACAACACCTCCTCCTCAACACCACTGTCAATGACAACCTCACCAACTCTGATTCATCTTCCTCGACCGCTTCTTCATCGTTCGTCCATGTCCGCCACCAACCCTTTCTCTCCCACAAAGATTCTTCTTCTCCCAACCACCTCCACTGTTCACGGCCACCACCCCCGTCTCCGATCCACCTCCCTCTTTTTTTCTCTCTCCCTGATCCGCATCTAACTCCGGTCATATCCGAACCTTTTTTTTTTTTTTTTTTGTTGCTAGCTCGTGCCGGAAGCAAAAATTCTACTTCTTGCGCAACCATTCGACTCTTCTCCACATTAAAAATTGTTCCAATTCTAGTAGTTTGATTCTGTTTTTTATTTTTTTTTCGATTGTTAAATTAGACTGTATATTTATGGGAGATGAATTGAAGAAATTTGAGAAAGAGGAGAGATCAAGAAAGCTTGAACAATGCTCAACACCACCTTGGTTTCTATCACTGTAAATCGAAGAAATTTCACCTATAGAACAAAAATTAGGGTTTGTTGATCACTTACACTTCTTCGGTTAGTGAATCTTTAGTGACTTGCATAGAATCAGACCTGTCTATACGCAGAGCGAAAGAGGACGATTTGCAATAGAAAGGGTTAGGGTTCCAACGGGCAGCAAGTCTTGAATTGGGGATTTATGTTTTATAGCATAATATATTATAACAGTCATAAGGGCAACTTCGCCATTTTCAAATTTATCAATGGCACGTGATCAACAGAGGCCTACATAACGGTAAGAAATGGCCGAAATGCTACCGGTGAGTAATTTTTGCAAAAAAATTGATAGTTCAGGGGTAAATTGTAAAAATAATAGTTTAGGGGAGAGATTTTTAAAGGGAAAGAATAAAGTTCAGAGGGATTTATTACACTTTATCCTAAATATAAGAAATAATTACAATTGTGGGCCAATTGGCCAAACAGGCCCTTTGGGGGAGAACAAGCCCAAATTTGGACCAAAACAAGGACCAAATAATACGGCCCACGCCCATGTCCTGTCTATCCTATTAAGCAAAAACAAATAAATATAATTAACTACCGTTAATGGTGGTTATTTGCCGCATACAATAACCAACATTAAGGAGCCTCTTTTTGCCTCTTTCACCGTGCTAGCAAAATTTATCTGACAAAAATAATCAACTTAAGGAAAATTCGGTTAAATAATTATTAAAAAAAAAAAAAAACACTTAAAGCTATATATACATATACATATATATATATATATATTTGTAAGTAGGAATGTTAGGGGATTAGTGTGACTGAATTTCTTATTATCCATCAGTGATCAAGAAATATATATCCAAGTATCAGTGAAGTGATAAAGACGCCGGATTTAGTAAAATAATAATAATAATAATAATAATAAATGAATTATGATACAAAAAAATATTCCTAAATTTATGAAAAACCCAACCGCAACCAATAAAAAATGTACTTTTCCAGAAACTTGGAGGCGGCCACACTTTTTGTCACTGTACTTTTAAATATTACATACTTGAGAGTGGTCATGATTGTCAGGATCCAACTCTTAACAAAGTTTGCCCAATTCTTGCAATTCTCATGGTCATGTGCCTCACATTCCAAATAATTAAGGCCGCATTTTGTAGGGCCAGAATCTGTTTTTGCAATTCTTCTTGCAGTATGATTTCCAGCACACGTGACACGTCTAACACACAGCAAATAAGTGTCATTGCCATTATGTATAGTTTAGAATATATAGAAAACACAAGCTTAAGATTACTTTGATACTAATAAAATTGAGGCCATTTAAATTCCCCCTATTATTTCTTTTTGTTTTCAATGCCGGTGAACAACACAAGATCATGCTAACCAATACAAAAATTTAGTCAGCCAAATATGATATCATGAATGAAGATGTAACTTCCATCTAAATTTGAGAATATCCAAATTCAAGCTCAAACCACATTTAAAGAGGTAAACCAAAAGTCTTCCACAACTATATATATATATATATATAAAGAGAGAGAGAGAGAAAGAGAGTTTGATCTCTTGCTCCCCATAAAACAAGAAAATTAATCTATACTTTTGTACTGACAGTTAAATTGTCATTTTTCAAACCCACCTATGACCTTTCCTTTTAACACAAAATAACTCTCACCTTATTTTTTTAATTTCTATATTTAATTTTACCATTACCACCTACTGTAACAAAAAATTTCATTGTTCAAACTTTAAATGAAATTAATGCAATATTACAATATATTTGTTGGTAAATTTACTTATATTAGATAAGTATATTAATTTACTTATACTGAGAATAACAAGATGTTTCTTAGAAAAATGCTATAATATCATATTGTTATTGCAAAATTAAAAAATACGGGTATTATTTTTCTTTCAAAGAAAAATCCAAATAAAAACAAATATTTAGTAAAATATACAAGTATTAATTTTTTTTTTCAAAGTTTCTATTTTTATTTTGATAATTACATTTTATCATTACAATAGGTGGTAATGGTAAAATTAAATATAAAAACTAAAAATAGGGTAATAGTGGTTTTGTGTTAAAAAGAAAGAAAATAGGTGAGTTTGAAAAATGATCTAATGGTCTATATCCTCGGGAAGCAAGAGATCGGGACTATATATGTGTGTGTGTGTGTGTGTGTGTTAAGTATGCCATATGAAGAACGGAGCAAAGGGCAATCTTATTCAAGTAAAATAATTACATTGATCAAGTCGGGGATCATCATCTTTGCAGGGGCACGCTGGCTCTTCTTTCATAAATCAATTGAATGCTCTATTTTTATTTTTTTTATATTCGGCGTGACAAAATTTTTTTTTTTTACCTTCGGCGTGACAAAATTGTTTGGAGCGCGAGTCCGAATCCAAATTGTTAGTTGGAATATATGATTTGGAAGTGGAGAAGAAAGGAGCGAAGGTGTGGAGGGAACGAACAGCCATTTCAGAGGATAGCTTCGAGTGGATTGTGGTGAGAGCTCTTGATGCCATTGTTACATTTAGGGTTTTTGGGGTTATCTAAGGAGAGAATTGATGAAACCGGAGAACCAATCGGAACAAAACCGAACAGTTGCTTCGATTCTAGTCCCTCATTAATTCAGTTTTGGTTCCAATTTCAAATTTGTGAAACCCTCGACTTTCGATTTGCTTTGTTTCCATCAAAATCATTACACTTTCCAACAAAAGGAATAGGCATTCCATTCCCCACTTAAAAAAATACAAAGTAAAAATAATATTAAAAATCGCTTTTATGATTGCTAATACACTTTTCTCAAATAACAAGAAAAGTGGAATATACATCAAAAATATATATTTAGCGATTGCTAATACACTTTTCTCAAATAACAAGAAAAGTGGAATATCCATCAAAAATATATATTTAGGCATATATATATATATATATATATATATATATAGGGAAAAAATTACATAACCCCCTCTACTAACATTTTCGTCCAAAATACTCCCATTAAAATTAAACTCCCCTTGAACATGCTCTTATCAAAAAAAAATTTGCCCTAAAATACCCCTTGTGTTATATATATATATATATATATATTCAACAGTATGTTTTGCGCATCCTTGAGCTTTAACATCTTTGATAGCACTCACGGTTGCTGCTATGTTCTTAGCTTCTGGTATGGACGTTCCGGAGAGAATGAGAGAGAATGAATGAAGCTTGGAATAATAAAGAAACAGGTACCCAAGCTGTTCTCAGTTGGAAACACAAAGCCATATATCTTTTGATTTAGAAACAGTTCCACCATCGATCTTCAGAGAGTGACAACTTGTATGAGACTATTTAAAACAATCCCACCATTTTTCTAGATTGAAAATTCTGAGACATTTCTCTTAAACAATAAATAAATATATAGAAATTTCTAGGATATTTCCTCTCAACCTTACATGGCTCCGTGTATATATAAGCTTGTGTACTGTATATATATAAACTCATAAAATCTGAGTTTTTTTTTATAGTCATATAAATACTGTTGGAAAAAAAAAAAAGGAAATACAGAGACTCATCTTCAACACCACCAGTGTAGATATGTTCTGATGAGGAGGACACACTATTCAAATCAGACACACTTCTAAATTTCAACAAACACTTCTACTACTACTGCTTCCTAATGGAAATCCTTTCTAATTTTTCAGACCCATTTCCATGTGGGTCATTTTTCTGGTCACCGGAATCATCATCTGTGGTGTGACTGGTGTCTGATGGCTGCTGCACCGTCCTTGCCAATTGCTCCGACGAGGAGGTTATGTTGGCTAACTTGGCTTCGAGTCATCCCAAGAAGAGAGCCGGGCGGAAGAAGTTCCGGGAGACTTGGCACCCGGTGTACCGGGGAGTGAGGCGAAGAAACGGCGGGAAATGGGTGTGTGAGGTCCGGGAGCCGAACAAGAAGTCGAGAATATGGCTGGGGACGTTTCCCACCGCGGAGATGGCAGCAGTAATTGCTTTGACATTTATTTATTTATTTATTACACTATTTATTCTACTTGGATGCAAAAAAAAAAACTCCTCTGAATTCTCCAATGGCATATGTTTGAGTTAATTCAATATTTATATTTCTTTTGGATTCTGACTTGAATGTTGTGCTGCGGATGCACATAATCTAAGAAAAAAATAATAATAATAATGCCGTAATTGCCCGTGCTTCTAACAACATGCCACATTGTCTCCATCAAAAATCACAAGCAAAGATGTACATAGAATCAAACTGTTTTTGCACAATCATATTAAGCCAAAAAAGAAAAGTTTTTGGTTCATCATCACTTCCTCATCCTTTATAACTAAAAAAACACAAAGGAAAAAGGTTTGCAAAGAGAGGAGGATTGATTTCTCAGCCTCTTACATTACCATGACATCTGTCAACCATTAAATACTATGTGGCTGCGCTAGCGTCGAGGGACCGCCGGTTGGCTTGCCCCAATTTTGGACTTTTTACTACTAATTTTATTTTATTTTATTTTATTATTTTTTTTTTTTAACATTTTCTTTACTATGTAATTGGCAAAATAACATTTATTTTGTATTTATATTTCATACTATATTATAGGGGTATATTTGTCATTTCACCTACACTTAACGGATTTAAACGGAAATGGGGAATGCGATAACGGTTTATAGCTTAGGGGAGTTTAATTTTAGTGAGGGTATTTTGGACAAAAACGTTGATACAGGAGGGTTAGGTGATTTTTTCCCATAGATACATTTAGTTAGTTTACAAATATATAGATTAGTTTTCTTTTTTAAGCTATTCTTAATCAAACGATTTGGGAATGGTCATTTTATTCTTTGGTTCATTTCATTCCTACCTTATTTTATTTTTCTGTACCAAACTAGCCCTTAAATTATAAAGAACAAATTAATAATTTTAAAAGAAAATAATGCATTAATTACATATCACCTTAAAAACTTATAATTCATTAATTCTAAATTTGGACATTGAATATATTTTATTTTATTTTTTTCATAAGAGCTATAGAAGTAACAAACCATGACCACCCATTAATATCGAATTGACCATTGTGTAATAATGGACACTTGAACTGGGCAAGGGTCTGCAACCCGCCGGAGATGATGGGTCACTGAAGTTCATCATCTTTTTCTTGTCAGAATTCGAAGTTCTTCATCTTCACCGTCTGGTTTGGTCACTACCATTGGGTCGTTGATGCTCAGTCTTCTCACCGGAACAAATGGTCTATGCAACTCATTGTGCTTACGTGTATAACAAATTTATATAGGTTTTGGAACAACAGGTAATGAGAGAGATTATTAGACCAGCTTCCAAGATTGAAAAATCAATCTCACCAACTTGTTTGTTAATATTCTTTTATTTTTATCTCTAAGCACCAAGATTTCAATTCTGGGTTGAGCAGCTCCATTAGAATAAAATGTTTAATGTATCCAAACATATAAAATGTTTCATTCGAATAGATGATAAAAGTACAGTTAAATAATTAGCATATTAATCGTGCTAGAAATGACACCAATTGCTATGCAAATTTACATTGGGACGTTCCACATTTAAGTTTTTCAGAACGAGAATTGTAACTTTAAAAATCCATGGAGAACTGACGCCAATTTTTAGTAATAGTAATGAAATAAAAACAACAAAGTGTTTGTGGAAGCAAGTGATACCAATTGGAGAAAACATTCCTAAATTTTTTGAAACCCAACCACAAACAATAAAAAATTTATTTTTCAAGAAACTTGGAGAACACACTTTTTGTCACAGCATTTTTAAATATTACGTACTTGATAACATTCTCAGGATCCAACCCTTCATAAAATTTCTACAATTTGCCCAATTATTGCAATCCTCATGGTCAAGAGCATCACATTCCAAATAATTAAGGCGGCATTTTGTAGGGCCAGAATCTTTTTTGCAATCCCTCCTGCAGTATGATTTCCAGCACGTCAACTGCCAGCTTAATACCATGTTGCCCCTAAAACCTAGAAAAAATAGGAGCAGAAAAAAGTATGATTGTCATTATGTAGAGTTTAGAATATATAGCAAACAAAAACTTACTAGGATTACACAATAACTTTTTCTTTTCAATAATTTAAAATACATTTTCAAAAGCAAAGTAAAAGTACCCGACTTCAGATTCTTCTGAAGAAAATTCGTCATCCGATGATTCTTCAGCTTCAATTCCTTTTTTCGGAAAGATCTCATGTCGTGGAATCTTCAATTGATCACACATAACTTGTGTCTCAAAACCTCTATCGCCTTTCGGAAAACTCTGTCCCACAGTCAAATGTGAAGCTATATACGCAACTCTATTAGCCACAGCGTTTCCTTGAGAATGTGGAAATTCTATGCGACAAACATCAAATTTTGACAACATATCAATAATTTTTCTGCAAAACAATAGTTTTTATATCAGTATAATTGAAAACAGGAATCTAAATTTAAAGAATAAACCCAAACTTTATACAAAAAGCTTACTTATAAAGTTCTAAATATTCCACTGGTATACGCTTCTCTTCATTTAGCACCTTGACAATTGTTTTATGGTCAATCTCAAATATTATTTCCTTTACTTCCGATTTACTTCGGAGAATTTCATCAATCCCATGATGCACTCCAAGTAAGAATACTTCATCTCTAGACGTTGCATCAGGAAGTGGCTTATGGAAAATTTCCAAAATCCTTCCCTTACAATCTCGGAATACTTCTCCACAAGAAGCTTCTTTCGTCCCATCAAGATTTACCTTAAAAAACCCAGAAACGCTTAACTTGTACCAACCAACAGGTGGCGGATGCCAAAAACATGGACATGTACCGTCTGTTAGAAAAACAATCGGACAACTCTCCAAAACATAAATTTGCTGCTTAAACATGTAATTATAAATCATTTCATCATATTGTCTAGGAATAAAGGATAACCAAAACATGAAGTCTTGTATCAAGACATATCTTGACTTGGAAACCCCAGCCGCATGCCAATCAGTGTGGTCTTTTTTGTACAACCCATACTTTTCTAATCCTATGTCGTGCTTCTTTACAAAAAACTGATGTTGGGCTCTACAAATAGCCTGTTGTTTAATGATCAAACAATATATTTGTTAAAAAAATAATTTTAATCATATAAAGATTAAAAATTATATATACATGTTGAACTTACCATAAATTGGTAGTAGTTAACAACCTCTCCCTTCTTGATCAAAGATACTAAACTTATGATGAAAGTATCAATGTTTGGAAACGTTCCTTCCTTCATATAAACGGCACGCACCATACGATGAAGGATTCCTAAAGAGGCATAATATAAAAATATCATTAAAGGCAGAAATATAGTAGCAAATAACAACAAATAAATAAACATTTTAATCATATGACGCCAAAATCTTTCTTGATTGTTTCTATATGTCAAGGACTTTTCTCCACTACTCCAGCCAAACCCGTGTGGCAAGATGTTGTATCTCCTTGCAACAGTCAGCCGACTTCCCATGGTCACTCGAGCCCGCGCGCTCCCACTCGTGCGCTCACTAATGTTGTAGTAGCCCTTGCCCTCTCACTGGGCTTGCAGACTAACACACTTAACACACTTGGGTCAGCAAGAGGAAAGAACACTTCTATTACTACAAAAAAATGCATTGTACAAGGCTAGCTCTCAAGTTCTTTATTTAGCTCTCAACTCGCACTCTAGGACTTGGTTACAAATGACACTTGGCTCTCAAAAAATGCGTTGTACAAGGCTAGCTCTCAAGTTCTTTATTTAGCTCTCAACTCACACTCTAGGACTTGGTTACAAATGACACTTGGCTCTCAACTCACACTCTAGGACTTGTTGGTTACATATGACACTAGTCATCTATTTATAGGCCTCCTCACTACTCTTTAACTTTCTACATATTTTAGATATTTACAAACTCAACAAAATTCCCTACTCATCTAGATTCTTCTATTCTCTAATTCTCTACATATTCTAAAATCTTCCCGACTCTCTCTACAAAACTATATATTTCTCTACACTAAGTTGGAAGACACTAGCACTCCACTCTCCTCATGCCATGCAGTCATCATCATGTAAAGTCCTCCTCAGCGCTCGGGTGTCGCCTGTGTGGCTTAGCCACGCTGTACAATTAGGCAGGGTGTGTATAGCTAAACACAATGCAAAAATTCAAACTGAATTAGATATTCGAAACCATTTCAAACTCTGGGCAATATGCTTTCATTACGGACTTTTTTCTTCATTTTTTAAAACTAGCAATGACAAGCATGGAATTCATGTTCTGGAATGATAGCAATAAAAGATTGCAATTTGACCTTTCCTCATCCTCTCCATGAATGATATTAATATCATCATTTGGAACAAATTCATTTGCTCTTTTTCTTCCTTTTTCTTTCTAATGTACTCTTTTATTTCTTCTTTAACACTTACTTGGCATCTTGTGAATGCACTCACATTCCTACATCCACCAGCTAAATGTTGCTTAGCCCGAAAAACACCTCCTTTTGTAACTTTTGCGAAGTAACAAGTGAGTGTGTTTATATCTTTTGGACCCGCCAAATGTGCGTAATTCCACAAGGGATCCTTTCTTGCACCTCCTTCACTTGGCATCTTTTATAGTACAACCTACGATCAAGACCTAAGTCACATAAAGCGGGAGCGGGAGCGGGAGCGGGAAAATTATGTCATAAATAGTGAGAATTTAAGCGAGAGTGCGGTCAGTGCATAAGAGCGACACCTGTTGAGAAGGATTGTGTGACTTAGATCAAGACAATAAAATAACTTCAGAAAATCACAGCAAGCATGCAATGTAAAGGCAACAGCATGTCAATTTCACAGCAATATTAGCATGTCAATTCTGAGAGCATAGAAAAAAACAATCAGCAAATTAAAATACAGAAAATCAGATTCTGAACTCTGGAGTTGGAAGATGTTTCATGTTTGTAATTCAATTGAAAACTGAGAACTTTGAAACAGAATCTGGATTCTGGAGTGAGATTCTGGTAGAATATAATCAACTTCAAGTACTTCAAGCCCATGATGGTCTTCAAACTTCATTTCAGCATTAAAAAAGCTTCGAAAGAATAAAAAAAGTGGCAGAATTCGGGAAAAAAAAATTTAATGATCATTTATTTGCATCATTTTTTTCATAACTAATACTGATCTTAGTTCACTATCTGTATCTCAGAACTATTATAACACAATAATTATTCTGTTCAAAACAGAGCTTTCAGAAAAAGAAATAGAAAAAAAAAAACAGAGAGGTTTCAGCTTTCAGAAAAACAAGATCAGGAAAACAGATTTAAAAAAAACAGAGTTTTCAGTCGAAAAAGAAAAAGAAATAAAATCACCATAGCTTCCAGCTTAAGAAGAAGAGAGCAGCACAAACAGCAGCAATAACAACAACAAAAGAAAAAAAAAAAATCAAATCAGAAAAAAGAGCTTCCGAGTGAAGAAGAAAAGCAGCAACAAAAAATAAAAAACCCAGATATTTCAGCCGAAGAAGAGCTTTTACTTTCAGAGTTTCAGCCAAAGAAGAAGAAGAAGAAGGGGAGAAAGAGAGAGAGAAAGGAGAAGAAGAAGCAGCAGCTTACTGTGTACCTGAGGTCCAATTGTCAACCTTAAGAAGAGACAGACGACCCAATCGTTCCGCCCTTTCTGCCTTCTTTTTCTCCTTTGCAAGCCCTAATTTTTTCTGTCCCAAATACGTCTTTACCTTCTGATTTTTTTTTATTTTTTACACGATAGTGGCTCACTGAATTAGATCTTTGAAACCATTTCAAACTCTGGGCAATACGCTTTCATTGCGGACTTTTTTCTTCATTTTTTAAAACTAGCAACGACAAGCATGGAATAGATGTTCTGGAATGATAGCAATAAAAGATTGCAAATTAAACTTTCCTCATCCTCTCCATGAATGATATTAATATCATCATTCGGAACAAATTCATTTGCTCTTTTTCTTCCTTTTTCTTTCTAATGTACTCTTTTATTTCTTCTTTAACACTCACTGGGCATCTTGTGCATGCACTCACATTCCTATATCCACCAGCTAAGTGCTGCTTAGCCCGAAAAACACCTCCTTTTGTAACTTCTGCACAAAAGTTACAAGTGAATGCATTTATATCTTTTGGATCCGCCAAATGTGCGTAATTCCACGAGGGATCCTTTCTTGCACCTCCTTCACTTAGCATCTTTCATAGTACAATCTACAATCAAGACAACAAAATAACTTCAGAAAATCACAGCAAGCATGCAATGTAAAAGCAACAGCATGTCAATTTCACAGCAATATTAGCATGTCAATTCGAGAGAATAGAAAAAAACAATCAGCAAATTAAAATACAGAAAATCAGATTCTGAACTCTGGAGTTGGAAGATATTTCATGTTTGTAATTCAATTGAAAACTGAGAACTGAGAAACAGAATCTGGATTGAGATTCTGATAGAAAATAATCAACTTCAAGTACTTCAAGCCCATGATGGTCTTCAAACTTCATTTCAGCATTAAAAAACTTCAAAAGAATGAAAAAAAGTGGCAGAATTCGGGCAAAATAAATTTAATGATCATTCACTTGCATCATTTTTTTCATAATTAATACGGATCTTAGTTCACTATCTGTATCTCAAAACTATTATAACACAATAATTATTCTGTTCAAAACAGAGCTTTCAAAAAAAAAAACACAGAGGGCTTTCAGAAAAACAAGATCAGGAAAACAGATTTTAAAACAAAAAGAGTTTTCAGTTGAGAAAGAAAAAGAAATAAAAACACCAGAGCTTCCATCTTAAGAAGAAGAGAGCAGCACAAACAGCAAAAAAAAAAAAAAAAAAACACGAGCTTCCAAGTGAAAGAAGAAGAAGAGCAGCAACAAAAAATAAAAAATAAAAAACCCAGATATTTCAGCCGAAGAAGAGCTGTTACTTTCAGGGTTTCAGCTGAAGGAGAGAGAGAGAGAGAGAGAGAGAGAGAGAGAGAGAGAGAGAAGAAGAAGAAGAAGAAGCAGCTTACTGCATACCTGAGGTCCAATTGTCAACCTTAAGAATAGAGAGACGACCCAATCATTCGCTCTTCCAGCCTTCTTTTTCTCCTTTGCAAGCCCTAAATTTTTCTGTCCCAAATACGTCTTCTTTACCTTCTGATTTATTTTTTTATTTTTTACACATTAGTGGCTCACATGGAAAGCAAAAACATTATATAAGGCAGAGCATTAATCAGGCACACATATTTGCGACAGGCCCAGCACATCATATCAAAGGCGCGTGACTCTTTCAATTCACTTAGCCCGGGCTATCTGTTAAAACGCTGAATCAACGCCTTGATGCACCTCAGGCGCATGCCCAGTGCTTTTTTGACAACTATGACCCAAAACCCAACCCAATAAGAATTTGAAACATCCCCAACAAAGTGTCATTGTGCCAGTGGGAAGGTGGGGGGGGAAAGTTTGGCTGATATTCTGGCGTGTGCAGTGGGAGCTTTCCTAGCGACGTATTTGGGCTTACCCTGGGGGGATCTCCACCGAGGAGGGTGACTTCATGGGATCCAATCATTAGAATGATTCAAGAGGAAAGTTCGTGGGATCCACTCATTAGAATGGTTTTGAGTCTTGAAACCGACTTTCTCTCTCTTTCAAACTCCAGCCATCGTGGTTCAGTGGATGGAGAGACTACAAAGGAACTTCTTGTGGGGCAATAAGGGGTATGAGTTCAAGTATCACCTTTTCAATTGGGAGTAGGCCCATTCAAGTAGGCAGTCTGGGGATTCAAAGGTTGGACTTGATCGACAAAACCTTGTTGGGGAAGTTGCTTTGGAGATTTGAGATCAAGAGGGACAGTTTATGATGGAGGGTCATTAGCTGTAATTCGGGGAAGGGAGATATGGTTGGTGCTCCGTGGAGGTGCGTGCTCCGGCAGGGGTATATGATTTTGGGCGGATGACTGGTGTGGAGAGATACTATTACCGGTGGTTTTTCTGAGACTCTTTCGGATTGCAGCACATAAACTTCCTACAATAGCCGATTGCTATCGCCTTCATAACAGGAGACCGATTTTGTATAACACAATTCATAAGACCATCTCAAGATTGGAAGGTGGAGGACTCTGTTGAGCTCCGGGGGATGTTGTACAATCAGTAGATCGGTAGGGGAGAGGAGGATGAGTGGGCATGGGAGTGGCTTCTCATTGGAGATTTGACTTTTGAGGTTCGCCCTTTATAAATGATTTTTTTTTTTTTTTTTGAAAAGTAAATTGCAATAGAAGGCGTTCAAAAGGGGAACGCGTCCCAAGGACTATACAAGACAGGAAAAAAGAGAAGAAGATGAGATCTATGGACCCAATGACCCCAAAAAGTCCATGATCTCATCCAAAGAAATACAATCTCTCCCCATGCCCAAACAAAAAAGAGAGCAAAGAATAGCGAACTTCAAAGCCCCAATGGAAGTCCCCTACCCATCAAAAGATCTTCGATTGCATTCTTTCCACAAACTCCACCAAATACAAAAGGGAATCACCATCCAGAAATGACGAACGCGCGCTCCCACCCTTTGGCCCCTCCAACCATCAATCAAATCCCTTGAGGTCCGGGGCATAACCCAGTGAACTCCAAAAAGACCCAACAAAAGGCTCCAGCAATCGTGTGAGCAACCGGACAGTACAAGAGAAGATGATCCACAAACTCTCCATCATTCATGCACATACAACACCAGTTAACAATAACATGTCGTCTCTTCCTCAAATTGTCAAAAGTCAAGATCTTGACCCAAATAGCAGTCCACACAAAGAAAGCCACCCTAAGAGGAGCCATCGAGTGTCAGACCGCTTTCCACGGGAAGATGGATCCACGAAAATCTGAAAGCTGGTGAAAATAGGACCGGAATTGGAGCTTCCCCTGAGGAGAAAGCACCCAAGTCAGTGAGTCCGACCAGGTGCCATCCATCTCCTGTCTATACAGAAGGTCCAACAAACCAATGACATCATCCACCTCCCAATCCTGAAAGGAGTGCCGGAACCAAACATCCCAAGACAACCTACCGCTATCAAGGCGATAACAGTTAGCAACCATAGCATGTCTATCAACAGCAATCCTGAACAACCTCGGGTACAGAAGAGACAAAGGACAGTCCTCGCACCAAGCATCCTCTCAAAACCGGATATCCCTTCCTTCCCGGACTCTGAATCTAATATGTTTTGAAAAATCATCCCAACCTCTCCCAATGGATTTCCAAACCCCACACCGACAGGCAACCTAACCAGTCTAGCCAACCCCCCCCCCCCCCCCCCCCCCTCCTCTCTCCAAACCGACAAGAAACAACTTTCCTCCGTAGCCTATGTCATTCACTGCCGAATCTCCAAAGCCACTTGCCTAGGAGGGCCCTATTGAAAGGGGCCAATCTCCTAATCCCTAGGCCTCCCAACCTGAGGGGCCTACAAACCTGCTCCCATCGAACGAGATGATACTTAAATTCCTCACCTCTACCACCCCACAAGAAATTCCGTTGGAGCATCTCAAGTCTTCCAACAACAACAGAGGGGATCTGGAAGAGCGACAAGGAATAAGTTGGGAGACTAGATAAAGTACTCTTCACCAAAGTAACTTTTCCCCCCTTTGAAAGGTATTGCTTTTTCCACCCTGCCAGCCTTCTCTGGAAACGCTCAATCATCGGGTCCCAGCTTCCCACCCTTCTCGTCGAGACACCCAAAGGCAAGACTAAATAAGAAATAGGGAAGGAGCTCGTCCTACACCCTTAGACAGCTGCGAGAAACTCCACCTCCTGAATATCTCCCACAAGGACAAGAACACTCTTTCCCAAGTTGACTTTCAGCCCAGAGACTGCCTGAAAACAAACAAGGACACGGCGCAAGTATCTCAACTGGGACTCCTCAACCTCACAGAAAACCAGAGTGTCATCCGCGAAAAGCAAATGAGAAATTTCCAAACTGATGAGCTGCGTCAGAACCAATCTTGAAGCCCCGAATAAACCCCAAGTCCACAACTCTCCTCATTAACCTACTAAGAGCCTCCATGACAATAATGAACAAGAAAGAAGAAAGAGGGTCTCCTTGCCTCAAACCACGGGAGCTGCCAAAAAACCCGGATGGGGACCCATTGACCAACACCGAGAATCTGACAGACGAGACGCAAGTAACAATCCATCGCCTCCATTCCTCTCTAACAGATAAAACAGAAAATTTCAGCAAACATGATCATAAACTTTCTTAATATCCAGTTTGTACAAAACACCCGGAATCCCGCTACTGAGCCTGAAATACCGGCAATAAGGTCGGAATCCAAAATCTGTCTACCCCCCAACAAACGCATTCTGAGAATCAGAAATGACGCCATCCAAAACCCCCCCCCCCCCCCCCCCAACGAAGCGCAAGGACTTCAGCGATCAGCTTATATTTGCACCCAATCAGACTAATGGGTCAAAAGTCCTTAAAATCAGTTGCCCCTCCCTTCTTGGGAATGAGAGCAATAAAAGAAGTATTCAACGACTATTTGAACCTCCCAGTAGAATGAAACTCATGAAAAGTGCCCATAACCTCCTGACGAACCACCTCCCAACTCTCCAGAAGGAACCTCATAGTGAAACCATCCGGACCTGGGGCTTTGAACGTGGAGGGGTTGCCTTTTTTCCTTGGAAGGCAATTTGGCGCACCAAAACCACCCCTTTAAAGGTAGCTTTCTTTGGGTGGAGAACTTTATGGAGGATTTTGACAATAGATAACCACAAGAGAAGGCGTAGGCCGCGTATCTGATGGTCAATTGGTGTTGTATGCATAAGATGGATAAGAGTCGGTGAACCATCTACTCTTGCATTTCCTGGTGACTGGGATGGGACTTTATTCTTGTCTGCTTTGGTGTTTCTTTGGTCATGCCTCATTCTACATAGAGCATGCTTACAGCTTGGAGAGGATGTACACGAGATGCTTGGATGGTTGCTCCTCTTTGCTCGTGGTCGGGTATTTGGTAGAGAGAGTAATAGGGGATCTTTTGATGGGGAGGAGACTCCTATTTGGGCACTCAAGTTCTCTATTCTTATTTTGTTAGTTGTTACGGTAAATGGTTGAAATTGTAAATTTGTTAAGGAAGTGATGATTTTTAAGGATAATTTGAGGATACAGCATATTGTTTTGGCTGAGCTTTGTATTTGGGATGCATTCGAGAGCTATTCTATGATATGTTCCTTCCACCCAAAAAAAAAAAAAAAGGGAAGAAGAAGAAGCATTAGCACTTCAATAATGGATAAGAAATGACGAAATGTAACTTCAACTACTATTTGCACTGCCTTCTGGTCAACTTTTTGAATGAATTAATAATTGTAAACTGCAACCTCAAATTCATGCTCTTATCATGACCATGACTTGAGTTCTGTTCTCGGTCCAGGTTTGGTCTTAAATAATTAAGAATCGAAGTAAAAATGAATTTTATGAAAAAGGAATAAGTAATATTATGCAACAACTATAGATTGAACATACCAAATCTCCGAACAAAAAGTATCTATGTTTTATGTATTCATTTGACTCCCACTAGGATACGTAGAGATAAGATTTACAAATTTCCCCCCTCCATAATTTTTCTTTTTAATACGGGGTATCAATCTAAAGGATGCTCCCACCCAAATTGAAATTGGATTTTTTTTTTCCAAATGGTAAAATATATATTGTGCAACATATTATGAGGATAATGCAAATGAACTTTACAGGTTAAAACAATGAAAATATACAATTGCATCAGGCTCTAAGCTCGTAAGCTATAAATAGAGCTTTTGGATCACATAACTTTTACTAAAATTATCATTCGAATGAAAAGTAATGAAAAATGAGGGCACATGCATATTATAAACACACTTACCTGGGCCCTCACCATTTATTGCATCACCAGCTTCATTAGTAGAAAATGCATTGCTCTCAACATTGGTTGCATCGCTAACTGCATCAGTACGACTCATAAACCATCGCCGGCTGTCATAAGTGTTCCTCATCATCATTTGCGGCTAACAATACAAAAATTCAGTCAGCCAAATATGATATGACAGATGAAGATGTAATTTCCATTTGAATGAAGATCCAAATTTAAAGGTAAACCAATAATCTTCTGTCTTCCACAACAATATGAAATATATATATATATATATATATATATATATATATATATGCTATATGAAGAATGTAGCAGCAAAGGGCAATCTTATTCAAGTCGAATAATTACATTGATCAAGTCGGGATCATCATCTCTTTTTTTTCCCCTTTCTTATAAGTTTGGAATCATGATCATTATCCTACCCTTTATCCCATATACATGGAATAGGCCATCTCTCTCTTATTTCGTTCTATTTTTTGGTAAGTATCTCTCTTATTTCATTCTTTACTATTGAAATCTGTTTCTCCCATTATATTTAATTTTCCAATCAAGTCTAATTATTCTATCCCATATTGGTTTGCCTATTTTTCTTTTATCTAACTTTTTTTTTTTTTTTGATTAATAATAATCGATTAAAAAGCGCTCAAAAGAGGAACGCGTCCCATAACAAGAGTGGAACCGGGTTCTAAGGACCCAAAGAATCCAAAAAATTAACTAAGTCATCGGAAGAGGAGCAAGAACTCCTCTTCACGTAACTAAAAAATAGAACGAATAATATGAAGTTTCAGCGTCGCCATGAACGACTCATTCCCTTCGAACATTCTACTATTCCTCTCCTTCTAAATGAACCACCAAACGCAATGCGGAACTATCCTCCAATAGTCGCGAACACTGCTTCTCATACGGGCTCCCTTCCATGCGTTAATCAATCCCCTGGAAGATGACGGCATTACCCAAAACATACCGAATAAACCAAATATAAGTTTCCAACAGTCGTACGCCACTGGACAATGCAAGAGGATATGATCCACTAACTCACCATCTCATTTGCAAAGGCAACACCAATTAACAATACAATTGCCTCTCTTCCTCAAATTGTCAATCATCAAAATCTTGCCACATACAGCTGTCCAAACAAAAAATGTCACTCTAGTAGGAGCAGTAGAACGCCATATGGTCTTCCATGGAAAATCAATGCCAACGAAGTTGGTTAAGCATCGAAACAGAGATCGTACTTCAAATCAACCATGGGACGAGGGGATCCACCTAATATCATCACTACCTCTGCCAACTGCCTCCTGTTTATACAACATATCCAGAAAAACACATACCTCGTCCATCTCCCAATCCTGAAAAAAACGCAGAAAGCTCACATCCCACGTAATCCCACTATTATCAAGCTGATAACAGTCAACTACACAAGCATGTCTATCGGTGGCGATGCTGTACAAACTTGGAAAGGTGCAAGATAACGGCTAATCACCGCACCATAAATCCTCCCAAAAACGAGCATATCTACTGTCATGCACCTTAAATCTAATATGGGAAGAGAAAACATCCCAACCCTTCCGAATGGATTTCCACACACTAACTCCTCCCGCAATAGAGACTGAACGAGTAGACCACCCGCCGCTCTCCTCCCCAAAGCGACATGAAACGAGCCTTCTCCAAGGGCGATGCCTTTCCCTGCCGAATCTCCATAACCATTTACCCAAGAGAGCTCGATTAAAAGGAACCAACCTCCGAATACCGAGACTACCCAACTTGATGGGCTTGCAAACTTACTCCCACCAGACGAAATGATACTTAAACTCTTCGCCCCTTCCACCCCAAAGGAAATCCCTTTGGATCTTTTCAATCCTTTCAGCAACAGAGCATGGGATTGGGAACACAGATAAAAAATAAGTAGGCAGCTCAAGAGAGTACTCTTTATGAGAATAACTTTCCCCCCTTCGACAGATATTGCTTCTTCCATCCTGCCAACCTCTTAACGTATATATCTATCACAAGTCCCAACTCCCCACCCTCCTAGAGGAGACCCCCAAAGGCAGACCCAAATAAGGAATAGGAAAAGAACTCACCCTACACCCTAGAACTGCAGATAAGGAGGAAATGTCCTGGACATCCCCAACCGGAACAAGCACACTCTTATCACAAGTCCCAAATCCCCACCCTCCTAGAGGAGACCCCCAAAGGCAGACCCAAATAAGGAATAGGGAAAGAACTCACCCTACACCTTAGAACTGCAGATAAGGAGGAAATGTCCTGAACATCCCCAACCGGAACAAGCACACTTCTTAGCCACATTGACCTTCAGTCCAGAAACCGCCTGAAAACAAACCAGAATGCACCTCAAATATCTAAGTTGAGACACATCAGCATCACAAAAGACCAAAGTATCATCTGCAAACAGGAGATGAGAAATCTCCATTTGAAAAGCTAAGTCTCTGCCCACCCTAAAGCCCTTGATAAGACTGAGATCCTCTGCCTTCCTCATAAGTCTACTCAAACCCTCCATTACGACAAGAAAGAGAAAAGACGACAAGGGATCACCTTGTCTCAAACCTCTAGAGCACCTGAAGAAACCGAGATCCATTCACGAAAACAAAGAACTTTACTGCCGAAAAACATGCCTCTATCCATTTCCTCCATCTACTACCAAACCCCATTCTCAGAAGTAAGTACAATAGGAAATTTCAGTTAACATGATCATAAGCTTTTTCAGTGTCAAGTTTGCATAAAACTTCAAGGACTCCATTTCACAATCTAGAATCCACACATCTGCCTGCAATAAGAACTGAGTTAAGAATCTGTCGTCCTCCTACAAAAGCATTCTGAGAATCCGAAATAATTCCATCCATGACATCCCTCTTCCTAAAAGCAAGAACCTTAGCAATAAGCTTGTAAATGCAACGCACAAGGCTAATTGGTCTAAAATCCTTAATATCGGAAGCACCACCCTTCTTAGGGATGAGGCAATAAAAGAGGCATTTAACGACTTCTCGAAGACTCCGTTAGAATGAAACTCCTGAAAGGTACCCCCATCACCTCATTTCTCACCACCTCCCAACATTCCAACAAAAATCGCATAGTAAACCCATATGGCCTCGGGGCTTTGTCGCCATTGCAGCTCGACAAAGCCTTAAGCACTTCCTCTTCGAAAAAAGGCATCTCAAGACCATCTCTATCCACCTCAGAAATAGCCTCAAAATGAAGCCCGTCCAGCTTGGGTCTCCATCCTAACGGCTCAGTGTATAGCTTCTGGTAAAAGGCGGCGATCCCATTACACACAACTCCGAACCATCCACCCGAATTCGCCCTATATGATTACTCTTTCTATGGGCATTAGCAAGCCAGTGGAAAATTTTCGTATTATCTGACTTGAAACTAATCTTCTATTTCTGAAGTCTTAACGGTGCTTATCAAAAAAAAAAAAAAAAAAAAGGTTGCATCAACGGGTCTAAATTAAACATGTCTAGACCACCTAAGTCGGCCTTCCTTTTATCGTATTTGCAACAAGTGTCGCTCTTGATTTATGTCACGCATTAATTATTAACCATATTACTTCTAATTACTTGTATCATCCACCAAAGCATTCTTATTTCAACTACAAAAATGTGTTTCATACTTCTCATCTAGCTAAGCATTCTTATTTCAGCTACACAAATGCATTTCATACTTCTCTTTTATTACCTGACAAGCCTGCTCCCTTAGTTAGCAACTTCATCTTTGATGTGATTGGACCCCAACTGATCTGATTATACACCCACTCACTCATTATAATTAGGGGTGCACAAAAAATCGGTAGAACAGGTGAATATATATGAACCGAACTAGACCGTATGGTTCATGTTGGGGCACAGCGGAAGCGCTCGAACACAAAGATCGAATGAAAGCCAACAAAGCAATCACACACAAACACAAGATATACATGGTTCAGCCAAAACCGACCTACGCCCATGATGTCATAAATCTCGGGGTTTATGGCTTAAAGAGGGTGATTGTAATACAAGGTTCTTCCATAGGCTTGCCAATGCTCCGAGGAGGGCAATTATATTAGGCAAATCTGCATCAATGGGGTGGAGTTGTGTAGAAAGGAGGAGGTGCGCATGGGCATTGTCTCTTACTATCAGAGACTACACTGAAACCTACAGTTGGAGACCTCAGCTTGGCGGTCTTGATTTTAATTCAATTTCAGCGATGGATAGGGATGGGTTAGAGGATCCTTTTTCAGAAGAGGAAGTGTTGAATGCATTGAAGAGTTGCAACGACGAGACCCGGGTCCAAATGGATTCACTATTAGGTTCTTGTTGGAGAGATGGGATGTGGTTAGGGGTGAGGTGATGGGCACATTTCATGATTTCCATTCTCATGGGCGGAGGTTTGCATGGGCATCATCTCTTACTACCAAAGACTCTACACTGAAGCCTAAAGTTAGAGACTTCGGCTTGGCAGTCTTGATTTTGATTTGATTTCAATGATGGATAGGGATAGGTTAGAGGTTCCTTTTTCGGAAGAGGAAGTGTTGAATGCATTGAAGAGTTGCAACAGCGACAAAGACCCGTGTCCTGATGGATTCACTATGAGACTCTTGTAGGAGAGCTAGGATGTGGTTAGGGGTGAGGAGATGGGAACATTTCATGACTTCCATTCTCATGGGCAGTTCGAGAAGTCATTGAATGCATCTTTATTGCCCTCATCCCTAAGAAGGGTGTCTGATTTCAGGGACTTTAGACCTTTTAGTTGGTGGGATGTATGTATAATTTAATAACTAAGGTTCTTATTCTAAGATTAAGGTATCTCTGGATGATGGCATTTCATAATCCTAGAATGCTTTTATAAGTGGTCAACAGATTCTGGATTCAACTCTCACTGCTAGTGAGTGCGTGGATTCTAGGTTTAGTAGTGGAATTCCAGGAGTCCTTTGTAAGCTTGGCATTGAGAAAGCTTATGATCACGTCAACTACAGCTTCTTGTTGTATCCGTTGGAGAGGTTGGGTTTTGTGGAGAGATGGAGGAAGTGGATTGAGACCTGATTTCATTTGTGAGATATTTAATTCTGGTGAACGGATCTCCGACTAGTTTCTTTGGAAATTCTCGGGGCTTGAGACGGGATCCTCTATCTCCGTTTTTATTTATCATTGTTATGGAGGCTCTTAGCAGATTGATGAGGAAGGTTGTGGATCTGGGCCTCATTAGGGGCTTCAGGATGGGTAGAGATGTGGGGCCCATCAAATGGAGATTTCTCATTTGCTGTTTGTGGATGATACTTTGGTTTTTTGTGGTGATGCTGATGTGTCCCAGCTCACATACTTGAGGTGTGTTTTGGTTAGCTTTCAGGCAGTATCTGGTTTGAAAGTAAATGTGGGCAAGAGGACCCTTGTCCTTGTGGGGGAGGTTCAAGATATTGCTTCACTTGTTGCGGTTCTTGGGTGCATGGTCAGCTCTTTCCTATTTCTTATCTAGGATTGCATTTAGGCTCTTCGTCGAGGAGGGTGGGGGGTTGGGATCCCATGATTAAGCGGTTTGAGAGAAGATTTGCTGGGTGAAAGAAGCAGTATCTTTCAAAGGAAGGGAAGGTCACTCTTATGAAGAGCACGCTATCGAGTCTCCCTACATACTTTCTCTCTCTTTTTTAGATCCCATCCTTCGTGGCTAGAAGGATTGAAAGACTTCAGCGAAATTTCCTTTGAGGAGGGTGGGGGTTTGGGACCCCGTGATTGAACAGTTTGAGAGAAAATTTGCCAGGTGGAAGAAACAGTATCTTTCAAAGGGATGGAAGGTCACTCTCATGAAGAGCACGCTATCGAGTCTCCCTACATACTTTCCCTCTCTTTTTCAAATCCCATCCTTCGTGACTAGAAGGATTAAAAGACTTCAGCAAAATTTCCTTTAGGGTAGGTTTGGGGGAGGAGTTTAAGTTTCATCTTGTTCGTTAGGAACAAGTGTGTAGACCTCTTTCGCTCGGCCTCTTGGGGAGATTGATTCATTTTAAAGGGATTTCCTAGGGAAGTGGTTGTGCAGATTTGGAGGCAAGCGGCATCTGTAGGGGAGGAGGGTTATTTTGTGCCGCTTTGGGGAGGAGAGAGGTGGTTGGTCCTCTCACGCGGTTAGATCAGTTGGAGCCTGGATGTGTTGGTGGTTGGAAGTTCATTCGGAAGGGTTGGGATGAAGTTTCTAAAAACATCAGATTCAGAGCTAGGGACGGTAGGGGCATTCGGTTTTGGAAGGACTAATGGTGTGGAGATCGTCCACTGGCCTTTTCTTTCCCCAGGCTTTTCAAGATTGCCATTGATAGGCACGCCTTGGTTGCCGACTGTTATTGACTTCATGGCGGAAGGATTATTTGGGATATGCTGTTTTGGCAGCATTTTTAAGACTGGGAATTTAGGTTCGTTCCTTTTTCTATTGCCTTTCTGGCTTCTCAGGTGCTGATTATCCTTGGAAGACAGTTTGGCGTTCGAAGACTCCTCTCAAAGTGGCCTTCTTTGGTTGGACTGTAGTTTGGGGTAAGATCTTGATCCTTGATAACCTGAGAAGGAAAAGACAAGTTACGGTGAATTGGTGTTGCATGTCAAAAAGGGATGGAGAGTCAGTGCATCATCTTCTTTTGCATTGTACAGTGGCTCATGATTGTTGGAGTCTTATTTTTGGCTTGTTTAGCATCCATTGAGTCATGCCTCGGTCTTTAAGGGGATTGGTAGACGCTTGGAGAGGATGTTTTGTGGGAGCCCACACCCGTGATTTTTGGAGGGTGGCAACCTTTTGCATTTGGTGGTGCATTTGGAAGGAGCAGAATAGAAGATCTTTTGAGGGAGGAATTTTCCATTGGGACTTTTGAAATTTCTTATCATTAGTTCACTTTTTTGTTGGGAAATGGGGAGATATTGTAAATCTATAGAGGAGATTATTGATTTTTTTGGGTTCCATAGGACCTTTCTTGTTGGCTCTTGCCTCTGTGTAGTTTGGGGATGCGTTCCTTTTTTGAACGTTTTCTAATACATATTTACTTATCAAAAAAAAGAAAGATGATACTTCTTGTACATGTATAACAAATGTTAATTGAATGTCTTCATAATTTAAAATTAATATTACTGAATTTGGAACTGTGATCGATACTTCATAAGTACCACATGTGACTGAATAACCTTTGACATTGAGACATAACCTTTTAGCATGGATTATATTTAGAGCTCACTGTTCAAATTTGTATTTGTATCCCCTCTTAGATTATTTACATTTTTAAATACATGTTGCCCATTTTATGAAAATAATGGTTTTTTTTTTTTTAGGATTAAATGCTAGAAAACACCCTTGTATTATAGATATTGTGCATATTACACCCTAATGTTTCAATTTGATATATAACTCCAACACATTTGGTTAATTCTTGCATCTTACTACCTTCCGTAAAATATTCGCCAGGAAGAGCAGTTAAATTAATCATGTGACCAACATGTGACCAACACGTGACATGATATTTATGATTAAAGACAAAAGTGATCCTTTCTTTCTCTCTCAGACAGCAAGCACAATTTTCTCTCTTATATCACTAGCTTTTACCTCTCCAAATCTCTCTCTCTTCGTTGCCCTCTGCAACTCACTTAGACTCCTCTCTCTATTTCTCTCTCTCTCTCTCTCTATATATATATATTCATTTGAATCTCTCTCTTGAAGTATCTCAATTTGTTGCATTTGAATCTCTCTCTACAAACCAAAACAATTTCCTAACTTTTGAACCTATATGCATAAACACTGTCAAAATGTTAGGCATACACACGCACGTATAAATATAACGTGTATAAAGTCTGTCATTCTAATTTCTTAGCCCCCCCCCACCCCCCTTCCCCCCTTCTCTGTCTAGCCTACTTCTCTCTCTCTCTCTCTCTCTCTCTAGCATCAAGCATATTTCTCTCTCTCTTTATACTTATATATATATATATATATATATATATATATATATCAGAGTTATCAAAGGCCCAAGGGCACTAGAGGTCCTTTGGAGCCTAGGCACAAGGCAAGGTGCACGCATGAGTGAGACGAGGCGCACGCATGAGTGGAGTGAGGCACACAATTGGAAGTTTAAAGTACTATTAAAGCATATTCACATTCCATATTAAAGGCGCAAATGTTGTCAAAGGCGTACCAGGGCACACAACAAGTGCAAGTGTTGCGCCTGTATGAGCCTGGAGCCTAGGTGCACCCTTAACAACACTAATATATATATATATATATATATATATATATATAGCGGCAAGCGTGTTTCCTAATGCAGCAACAGATATACTTCAATCCAAGAGAAAGAAAAAAAAACGACAAAGAAGCCAATAACTTTAAATCCAAAATCGGAACCGAAACCCACATGCCACCCAGTCCATCCCCGAATTTGAATTCAGATTCATGCCTCCAACACTTTGTTTTCCAATTAAACTTGCCATTGTCACACTAATCACACCACAATATCCAAATCAATGATAATCTCAGATGAATATATACGTGTGTGTGTGTGTGTGCGCGCGCGCATGTGTATACACATTCGTATATGTATATAAGAGAGATCGAAAGATAGAAGAACAAACAAGGGTAAGAGTTAGGACTTGAGCCCCAAGACCTAGAAATATTTTCCTTCATATAAAAAGAAAGCAAAGAGTGAAATTGAAACCCTATTCAATGAAATTGAGGGATGGATGAGATGAACATGCGGAAGAGATACACACTTGTAAAGTGCCGTTTCCTTTGGGTCATTTTAGATATAACCTTTTTTTTTTTTTTTTTATTTCATTACACTGGTATTTAAGTAATTTTACAGCTCACAGAAGGGACCGATTTGAACCAAATCATTAGGTGAGGGGTTTTTTTAGAACAGAAGGGGTGCTGTATGCGCAATTTGGATACCACAAGAATGTTTTTTTTCATTTAATCCTTTTCCTTTATAGCAATAAACAAACTTTAATATATTGCTTGTAAATATCATTTTTATATTTTTTTTGAATTATTCTAGAACCAATTTTATAATATAAATAAGAGTATTAGCTTTTGCTCCACAACAACAATGGCTTGTAATCCCTCTGTAATATAAGCTATTCAAATAGTCATATAACAAATCCATTGAGTATAAAATTAAGTTATGTTATTTAGTTTACTAACGTGGATATGCAGTTGGATATGCAGTTGGAAGTTAGTGACTAAACTCGATATGCAGGATATGGAAAGCAAAATACTCAAATAAGATGGAAGAATAGAGAAGAATATAGAGATATAGTCAGTAGAGAGTTAGACGACCTAAGACATGAGTACAGAAAGTACTGTGTTATGTGCATGGGATTGATGATTTTGAACCAGAATTGGAGAAAATTTAGTTGAAAGTTTAAATTAATTTTTTCCAATTTCAAATTGGTAAAAAACGGTATTTGAAATCCCATCAATCAATCGTGTCCCAAACATTTTCCAAATCCAAATCCCATCAAATCCCTCGATTACAAACACAGCTTAATACAGCAAAATATCTAAATCGCTAATTCTAGCGGAATAATTCTTACCTTCATGTTGAACACAACGTTCTTGAGCTCCATCACGATCTTTCCCATCTTGTAGCGTCTCTGAGGGAGATCGATGTTGCTGTAGTAAGTCCTCCGGTACTGTTCCGCAGACGGAGGATCATCATCCACCTCTTCCACTACCTTGGTGTGGATAGATTTGTCTGAAACCCACAGCTTCAGCCCCTGCTTACGCGTCCCCGTTATTTCCAACCTCTCATATTTCTCGTCTTCCATCACCTTGCACGGGAATACTGGCCCTTCTTTCAGAATACGATTGAATGCTCTGTTTTTCTTATCTTCGGCGTGAGGAAGCTGTTTGGAGTGCGAGTCCGAATCCGAATTGTTAGTTGGAATAGCTGATTCGGTATTACAGTCGGACGAAGCGAAGGTGCGGAGCTTCCAGTAGATTGTGGTGAGAGCTCTTGAGGCAATTGTTGAATCTAGGGGTTTTGGATGTGAGAGAGAGGAGGGATATAGAGATCTTGACGCCATTGATGCATTTAGGGTTTTTGGGTGAGAAAGAGGAGGAGGTAAATATAGTTTTTTTTTTTTTTTTTAAGAGCAAGTGGGGGTATGTATGTAACTCCCCCGTGTGCAAACGGGGTTTTTTGTTTTTAAATAAAAACAAAGGAAAAATAAAAGTGCTGGCCACGTTGGACTGTCCGACAACGATCATGATGACCAGTTGAAAATCTTTTTTTTTTTTTTTTTTTTAGTTGACAGAAAAATACATATGTTACATAATTCGCTCATCACTGGTACTCCATTGCTCCGCATGTGAATTGGCGGTTTGAGACGCTTTCGTGCTTTTGAATTCGCGAATTCAATTTAAGAATTCACCGATTTTTAAAGTTCAATTCGACGAATTGTGTAAGGTAAAATCGTGTATTTTGTTCAAGAATTCGACTACTTTTAACAATAAATTTACGAATTTAGTGTGAATCTTGAGAAATTTTGATTTTACCCCAACTTAAATAGACCAAATAAGGTTAATTATGTTAAAAAGTAATTAATTTAATTTAATTAAGTAAACTCTGTCATTTATAGATAAAAATCAAATAATATAAGTTATATAACAATATACTAAAAATTTAATAATACTTAAGTAACTTACTTTCATTAACTTTTAGGTTTGGAAATTTGGATATTGTTTGTTTTAAAGTTTAGCAGTAGATTCTTTTACTTTTAAACATTTATTTATTTATTTATTTATTTTGGTAAAGCAAACACACACATACTTTTTTGCCCACGCCGGAGCTCGAACCCCTCCCCTCTTCTTTAAAGATGAGGACGTTATACGATTGGGCCAAAGCCCTTTGGTTGCTTTTGAACATTGCTATTTCAAAGACAATGATTGTCATCTTAAGAGCTTAAAGTAGGTTAAATGTATAAAAGACAATACTTTTGAACATTTATTTTTCTGTTATGCCCTATTCGCTGTTATGTTTATAAAGCAGCTTGTTTGATTGTCATGTTTGTTAATTTATGCATTTTTATAAAATAGGTTATATTGGTTGTACATATTTGATTTACTATTCTGTTTTTTTATTTGCATGAAATTTATTTAAAACATATATTTATTATTATAAATTAATATTTTATATATTTATAATGCGGCGCTCCCGCTCTAAGATTTTTTGAGATATGCCGCTCTCGCTCTCGTTCCCGCTCTATGTGACTTAGGATATGTCCTTAGTATTGTTGATTGATAATCAATTGTGTTGATGCACGTGCCATGATATCTGTTGAAGTGGCATCTTTTTTGGAAATGAGCACATCTGATTGAGGCTGATCTGGCATACTTCTGAAGGGATCAAGTAGGCTCAAATTACTGGCCCTAAAATTTGAAATTACTGGTTGAAGAAGGGGTCGCTACCCTTTCTCTTATGTGGACGCGCCCCATTCCAGTCGGATGGGCCCCTCTCTACTTTTCCAAGGTTACCTCCTACAAGCGTAACATCAAGCATTCCTTTATCGAGCTCTCTTAAACTGAAAGAACCTCGAGGCAAGGGTAAGAACTCCACGAAGTCGAGAAGGCAGTACTTCAAAGAGAGGGGCTATTTCCCCTATCTTTAGTCTTAGGAATCTAAGGGCACGTGGACAGGTGTCTGGGATCCAAGGGACCGCCTCGACTTGAGGCCAATGCGAGGGGGAGGGGACGTTTGCAGCCCTAACTTGAGCTCTGGGTATAGCAAGGGAAATATTAATTACGAAGAGACACCTGACAAGATTTGCATTAATTGAGAAGCGCCATTACCTCTTTGGACCAAAGGACAAAGCGCCGCGATCCATCTGTCAATATCCCATCTGTCAGAAAAGGAAACTCTCGAACCTATAAGTAAGAGGGGACTCGTTATGGAGACCAACAGGCAATGACCGAGAAGCGCCATGGTCCATCTGTCAATATCCCATCTGTCACAAAAGAAGACTCTCGAACCTATGGGTAAGAAGGGACTCGTTCTGGAGACCAACATGCAATTATCGAGGGGTGAGTCATATAAATAGAAGCATTAATCACTCTTTAAAGACAGCGACGACTACACTTAGACATTCATTAATGCCAAGCTCGAGTTAATAAGGTTTCAAAGTTAGCCTTCCCTCTCTTAATTTCTGATCTCAGAGAATCCCTTGTGTTGCTTGGATCCCCACTCGGACGCTGATCTCAGTTCTCCTGGCTTACGTGGAATAACGTCTTCATCCTACTAAGAACGATCATAAACAAATTGCAATGGTTAAAAAGTAAAAAAATCAATTACATGTGTTTTTTATTGGTTAAAAATCATTCACAAAAATTTATTGATTTGTTTTAAAATTTTAACTAATCACCCACAGTTGTAAACAATTTTATTTTATTTTTCTAAAAATTGTTACAATGCATTTTAACTAAATATGATGTCTAGATCCCTCTGGATTAATAGTATGTTTGATTGGATGGAAAGATTGGGGAGGGATGAATGAGAAGGGGTATAAAATAAAAATAAATTGTAATGTCTCGGATTTTTTGAATTTTTATTTTAATTATTTTTTGTGCATCGTTTTGTGTATCACGCAGGCCCTGAGGGTCGTTTCGGTCATTTTTAGAGTTGAGAGTTTTAGCAATGCATTTTTTTATTTATTTTAAGTCAATTAGAGTTGACGGAACCATTTTTAGAATTTTTCGGAAATCCATACAATTTTTGGGCTCGGGAACTTCTCCCAGTTTTGCCATTTTAAGTGATGGGCATTGTGTACACATATACATATACACCTATATTTATACGTTGAAGTAGATATTTTGGAGACTTGATAGGTATTGCAATGGAAGGGTATGGGCATTTGAGTAACTTTGACTGAAATTATAACCAACCATGGATTGACAAGTGGCACCTCAAGGACTAAGTCTTCGTTTGCAAGACAAAGCCATCCCTCATTTCTTCCCTATTTCGTGCATTTCTCTCTTTCTCTCTTTATCGAATTATCACTATTTAGACAAGCCACATGGATAGTTCAATGTGCTCATCAGCGCCTGACCCTGAGATGTGGATCATCCAAGGCACATTAGCATGGCGTATTCTTCCTGTTCGAACCGGGGTTACTTCTTCATATTTCTTTATATATATCTTTAAGTCATATGTAATTATGTATTCCAAGTTTCAAAGTTCATTTTTGAGATGTTTAGAGTAAGATTTATGAGACGCCCAATAAGGGAGTTTTGATTTACACAGCAAGAGCTTTCATTTTACACCAATCTTGTTAGGGCTTTGAGGGATTTTGAATTTGGGGTTAGCCTTAGGGCTTGTTTGGCTTGCCTAAGGCCTTATTTGGTTGCACACAATTAAGGTAGGGGTTTTCTAAGTCCTCATTCTTTGCCTTTCTTTGAGAAATTATTTTATTCTTCAATTGTTTTCTAACAAAATGTGATATTATAATTTCATTGCTAGCTAAATGATGATGATGAGTTGAATGTGAGCTAAGCATACTTAGAAGCGAATCATATGATGCCTTTATATGCTAAGTGTTAAGTGTTAACATGGATGAAAATATGTGAATTTTTATGAAGAGCATGTTTATGGATATGTATAGCAAATGCTTTGTTGTGATTACATTGTGGAAGGTGATGTTATGGTTATACTTGATTTTGATGAGAAAATGTCATGCTTATAACCATTGTCTTGATAATGTTATGTTCATGCCATTAGTGCCACATTGGTGAAGTTGAAGTTAAAATGATGAAATTGCATTCACGTGCTTTAAATGAGAAAGATATTTGAGCCATTTTAGAATGGTGGAAAAGTTGGAGGAGGTTAATAAGTTAGCCATATTCGGATGGGCAAGAAAAAGAGAAATTTTAGAAATGGGCCGGGTATCGTAAGCCCGGTACTGACTCAACCTAGAGGAGGCGCAGTCCGGTGTAGGACGTGCAAAAATTGATACTAGGCCCCAAATAGCCAAGAGGTCAGTGATAGTGTCAATCCCAACTCAGCAAAGTCGGTTAGTGTAGGTGGGGATCAGGGTCAGTTTAAGACCAAGTGCGAGGAAGGACTTGCGCGCATATATGATATGTGGCTCAAGGGAGTCCAAAATTGGTGCCTTAGGCATTTCCTACCGAGCCTCTGTGCTTACTCATTTCTTTAACACTTTTTAGGTTATGACGATAATGCAGTTGATGACGGGCCCTCACATGCATAGTTAGGGTGGACGAAAGCAATTTTCATTAATTTTGTAGCTAAGGCGCAGTCTATGTAAATTCAATTGTAAAGCATTGTAATTATGACCCTAAGGGTCTCAAACTTGTAACCATATTCTTTTAGGGACTATTTTGATGTAAAATAAGGCATGTAATGACATTTAAATGTAAGCATTAGCTATGTTGTTACCTTGGGACTATTTGGTTGTTAAATTATTCATATGACTTTTATATTGATGTTTAATGCAAATGAATGTTTTGTAATAGATTTGGCTTGGTCTAAATGACCAATTTATGATTTAGAGCATAAAACACTCCAAAATGAGGTAATTACAACATTTTATGTTCTCAGTCCGATCGATCAGATTGAAGTTCGATCAATCGGATTTTCCTAGATTTAGAAAATTTTGAGGTTGTCTAAACTGCCCGAGTTGACCAAAGTTCAAACAATCATAACTTGGCTATTTTAAACCAAAATTAAGTCATTAATCTATTTAAGAAAATACTAAAAGATTCGAGGGGGGATGACTAGAGCCTTACAGGCGACGTTCGCTACTTCTCCGTAACGATCCACAATAAAGGGGAAATGGACCTTGCTCCCATGATTAGATAAAGGGAGTCTAGATTGATGCATTTTTAGCCAACTTTTCATTGACATCAACCTAATTTTATAATTTTGACTTTAAATGACTATTTTACCCTTCGTAAGCCTAGGGTTCCGGCATGAACCCAAAGTCGGGGTTACCATTCTTTATTGATCTAGTATTTATAAATGACTAGCATGACTTCAATATGACTCTTAACACATAGTAAGATCTATAATGACTATTTGACCCTTAGTATCCTCGGGTGGTGTGATAAGTGATGAATATT